ATCATTACGGAACTCCACCCTGTGGGAAGTGTGCCCGGCTTCTTCAATAATTGCTTATAAATGGGCTCTAAAGACTTGGCAGTTTAAAATGGCCTTTAAGTGATTTGAAACTGAGAAATGCTTTTAATTATAAACTATTACTGATACCTTAATTACTAACATTTTGCTTGAACTGTTTGATGTTTGTTCTTGTGAATTTGTATTATATTCTTATTGCAGAGTTTTTAAAAATGTGAACCTTGAAAGGGCTACATAGTTATGAAAAGTGGCATATAAATAATTTAAAAAGACAATGTGCATCACCAGCCTTTTGTATTTGATCAAAATGCCTTCCTTTAGGATAAGTAGGCTAGGAGATTGTATGATATCATAGAGGTGCCAAGGGTACTGTGTCTGCACTGAAAAATATTTGTGAACACACACACACACACAGCATCCATGTCAGCACCATTTGAGCAACCCAATATCTAAAGTAGAGAGCAGAGTTGTTGCTGTTTGCTTTCACAATGTCCTGCAGTCCAGCATTTGACTCTTCCATTCATAGGAATCAATTGATATGGGGGAAGTAATAGTGCAGTGAAGGAAACATGGAGTCAAGCTTGTTCCTTGCCCTTAATGAGCCAGGCTTTTTCTATGCGTAAAGCTCCATCTTGGGTCATTCCCTGGCTACCTGAAGGACTGCCTTCTCCCATGTATACCAAGCAGCACATTAAGATCTGGGCAAGAGGCCCTTCTGAAAGAGAGGGATGGCAAATTGAAGAAGGGCCTTCTCAGTGCTGCCCCCCACCTATAGAACAGGCTCCCCAGAGAAGCTCTCATTTCGGCACCAGGCAAAAACATCGCTTCTCCACCCATTTTAACAATTAAAATTTTAAAGATGATTTTATCCATTTTAAGGGATTTAGATTATTAATTATCCTTCTCACCTCAACATGATTTAGAATGATTATTATTGATATTATTATTGTTAAAGTTTTATTGATGGTTTTTAGTATTTTATTGACTTTAGGATTCTGAAATTGTCAAATTTCTGTATTTTGGCTTTTTTTGATTGGTGCACACTGCCTAGACAGCCCTTTGAACTACCTGGTGGCATAAAATAAACCCTTGGCCACTCTAATGTGCTAGAATGGTGAGAACTAAATTTGTTTTATAGCTTCCTTTTTTTTCCCTGAGAGACAGGCATTCATTTCTCTTTCACCCTTTGCACCTTACAATACTTCCATACAAACTACATTTGGGCTGAAATTAAAGGGTAAATGAACATTTGGGTCCTGCTCAGTAACAGAAAATAAGAACATCCCAAATATGCTGTTTAGGAGTGCTTATTGGGCTATAAAAAAGAAACCAGTTTGTTTGGAACAAGGTAAAGGATCTCTGTCCTCTTTAGATAACACTGTTACAGTACAGGGATGGCGGCTGGACATTTTTAAGTGTTCTGGCATTGCCTGCTTAGAAATTCTTTTGCAAACAACTGCCACATTCTGAAAGCATTCATTATCCTTGACTTCTGTGCACAGATAAAATCATTTAAATGGCAGTTAAGAAGAAATTCCTCTACTGTACAAAAAGTAGTTCTAAAAATGCCATGCAGTTGACCCAATCAATTTAACAGTACTGCCTGAGAGATCATAGGCACCCCATTGAGCTAAGTGATAAAAATTTAGACAGCCTCTTAACACAGAGATTATTAAGTAGCTGTCTAGAAAAAAATATTTAGCTGAAAAGCCCAGGTCATTTAAGGTCTATTCCTTAGAATTTTAAAAGGGTGCGCATTGGAGATTATTTCAGCTATCCTTTTCTGATCTACAGATATACAGAGGGGTACATAAGCAGGTATAGTTTTTATTATGAAAAAATAATAGCTTTATTAAGTCACAATAAGGATGACATACAAATTGCAATTAAGTACAATCTCTTAAGTGCTCAAATTGCCGGCCTTCAGCATTTACACATTCCTGTAGTCTAATTTCTACACTCAAGCACACTTTGGCACAGTGTGAGGAACTCTGTATAACTGTTATAACTGTATCCCTACTTTTGCACCCCCCTATAGCATATAGCTAATATAGCCATGTATTTCAGAGAGAAGTTAGACACAGTACCAGAATTTGCAAGATTTACGAATTTTGAAAATCAGATGCATGATTAACCATTTTCGCACTGCAGTTTGATTCAGTTTGAGACAAAAGCTGTCAAAAGGTGAACACACCTTTTATTTATTCATCTTCTTCCTATTTTCCTACCAGAAACTCAAAATAGCCCACATAATCTTGGTCTCCAGTTTATCCTCACAACAGCCCTGTGAGGTAGACCAGGCTGAGAGTTGGTGACTGACCCAAAGTTATCCAGTAAACTTCATGATCAACTGGAAACTAAAACTCAGGTCTACTGTGCTCCACTCCAACACTGCACCAAACTGGTTCTCTATTTTTAAAGTACCTTGTAGGATGTAATAGTTCTAGCTCCCTAAACTTGCTCTACAAAAACACAACTGGGAAGGAGGGTTTCAACAACACTGTTTAAGGATGCAATCCCATGCATGCTTAGACAGAAAAGTCCTATAAAAGTCCTTAAAATACACCTCAGCCTGAGATGCATACAACTGCACCCTAAACTAAGTATATTTAGAAAAATCACAAGTACCCAAGACTGCCAGGAAACCGTGACAAATCTTTGTCTAAGAGATACGTTAGCAAGATGCTGCCAGTCACAAACACTAAGCTTAACAGCAAAGGTCTGGCTGTCCCTTGCCGCAACAAAAAGTGGCTTGCAGTTGCCAAGGAAATAAAGTAAACGAGTTATCGCAGATTAATCTTCAGATAAAGTTTGGGTATCACCTCATAGTGTCTGACGGTTCACAGATGTAAATGACCAATTCAGGTGCAGCTGCCTGTAAGTCAATTATGTCTATCATTTCCTTGATCAACAATTTCCTTCTATTTCATACAAAGCCTTAGGCAGCACTAACTCAGTTCCAGTGAAAACCAAATCCTAACTGCTACTGCCATCTAGCAGAACTAATTACTATCCTGGTGGATATTACAAGCAGAGCATCACTTCAAAGAAACCATTACTTATCCAGGTGACATATCTGCCAAACAAACAACAAATCATCTTTACAAGAAGGGCATTTGCACAAGCCTTCAACATTTATTGCCATGGAAAAAGAGCAGGCAAGTTATTGTGCCCACGCCTAGTTTCTGAGCTTTCTATTCATATCTGATTCAACAAGGTAGGCCTCTGGCTTCCTTGAGCTTGGCTCTTCTTCTGAGAAAACCTGCACACAATTTTAGACTTGATCTATCATCTATGCTTAGAACAACACAACTGGCGCAGTAGTTGGTTTGACCATGGAATACCCAGATTCAACCCATGACATTTGGCAGCTCTGAGAATGTTATACTTTTTCAATCTGTATTATCTATCACTGTGATATGGCTGCAAATAAAGCAAATGTAATTCTAGGCTACAACAGAAATATAGTTTCACATTCATGATAAAAGTTCCACTCTACTCGACGCTTGTCAGGCTTCACCTCAAATACTGTGTCCAGTTCCAGACACCAGTTTAGAGATTCAGTTTAACTGAAACATTAGATTTATATCCTGCCTTTTAAGAAAAAAAAAACTCAAAGTGACTTACATCATTCTCCTCCTCCTGCCCTCAATCTTACTCCCACAACAACCCTGTGAGGTAGGTTGAACTGAGAGTCTGTGACTGGTCCAAAGTCATCCAGTTGGCTCCATGGCTGAGCAGGGACAAGAAACCAGATTTCTCGAGTCTCAGACTTGCACCCTTAACTATATCACACTGGCTCAAAGATAAGCAGGGGACTAAAATTTACATCATATGAGGAAAGTTTGAGGGAACTAGGTGTTTTTTAACCTTAAGAGAAAGCTAAGGTGAACATGATAGCACTTTTCAGCTACCAGAAGGGTTGTCTTACAGAAGAAAGCCATTAACTATTCTCTGTTATTCAAGTACATTGGACAGAAAATAATGGGCTTAATGTCAGGAGCCAGGAAGCGGGCTACAGGAAACAAGACAGAGGCATCAGGATAACAGAACTTGAGACAAGACAGAGTCCAAAGTCCAAAAGTAAGATTTAATGGTAAGTTCAAGTTGTAATCACAGAGTAGGGTCAAAAACCAGAAGTATGCATCAGGGCAGAACAAGGACATGGTCATCAACAAGCCAAGAGTCCAGAAATGGAAGACAAACAGAGGTACAGGTACCCCAAGGCAGGAAATATGGCAAGGCAGGATAGACAGCAAGGGTCAGGAAAGATGCAGACAACCCTACATTGCTGAGGAACCCTGGAGAGGCAGGATGCAACAGGAACCAAGTGCAGCAAAGGTCAGGCAAAGTACAAGAGCTGAACCACACCACTGCCAGCAAAAGACTCATGCTGCTTAGGTGAGACACCAAGGCAGGTTACAAACGGCAAGGTGGCAGGAAGCAGGCACTACAACAAACAAGGAGACCTTTGCTCCCTAGGCAAAAGCTCTGGCTCTTTCCCCTGGGCCCTAGTTTGTGTTAATGAGCAGGCTGAGAGCTCCAGTAGGGCCTAGAGCTAATCCTGGAAATACTAAGGTGGGCTTCTGGTTCTGACCATCAGGTGAAGCCCCAGAGCAACCTAAATCCTGACACTTAAGGTAATGGAAGGCAGATTTCAGTTGAACAGCACGAAAAACTTCCTAAGAGTTAGTGGTCAGCCAATTGAATCAAGTGCCTAGGAAGGTGGTGGGCTCTCCACTGCAGCATGTATAAAGCAGGACCCAAACACCCTTCTGTCAGGGATGCTTTAAGCTGGGTCCCTGTTCTAGCTAGTGCAAGTGCAAATTAAAAATTTCACTAGCAAAATTCAATTTTTAGACTGTTACTAGGCAGTTTGATTTTATGGAGGGGTTGTTTGTTTTTTTGCATTTATATTGTTAAGCAGCCATGAGGGAGTTTTTTTTTAAGCTAAGCAAACAGGGAACAAATGCCACATTAAATACTTATTAGAATACCATTTAATTTTCATTCTCTTTGTAATATCTCATTTCTCAAAAGTACTGTACACTAATACAATTCACTAACATTATACCACAATAATGGAAAAATCCAGTCCTTGAGCATGTTGAATCAATGATGAGTACAAAATGCAGATCAGGTGTTACTGTTCTAGGAGTCATTATGATCTCTCTGAAAATTCAAATTGTATAAATATGTTTATACACAGACAATTGTTTCTCTTCTCATTTAGCTAAAATCCAATTTAATTATTCTGAATGTAACAGACTCGGGCTTCTCCTCGGATTTGTTATAGCTTAGAAAAACATGTTTTATAACAGCTAGAAATTTAGCAATGATATACAAGCAGCTAAAATGACTCTTCAAATACAGCTTCAGTATAGGATTGTACAGTACTGCTGAAGATTTGCACTACAATTTAAGTAAACAACTGACTTGTTTTTTCAAGCAATGCAAGCATCTGTCATGAAAACTTCGAAGAAACCTCTGGCCACGCACAGATACCCATCATGTATGGAGCCATCTGTATACTACAAACTAGAAGTTTCCAGTTTCACAGAGGCACACATAGCTATGATTTCAATAGAATTAAAAATGCTTATCTTTGGCTGGCTTCTGCTAATGTTTCAGAGCTTCATCATTGCCTGACACCGGGCGTTCCAAGTTTCAAATGACAAAACAGGGTATAGGGCCAGAACCAGAGAGCTATGAGTGGCTATTAGTTGCAGTAATTTGCACATAGCTATGAATGGAAGGCACTTAACCATAAACACTGAAGAATGTACCCAGTACTCTCATAGCTTCTGTTTGCTTGTTCAGTAAGAACAGTCTCTTGATCTTGATTTATTTTTCTTACACAATGCTCTAGTGCAAAGTATAAAACAATTCTCTCATGTGGAAGATTCCTTCCATGAGTAGAAAAGCACCTCTAGAACTAGCACAGTACAGCAACATATCTTGCAACTTTGGTACCATAAATCAAAGAGGGTAAGAAGGTTGCAATGTGCTACTTCCAGATCTCAAAACACAACATATCCAGGTTCCAGCTTTTTTACTATACTTACAGAATGCAAGTCTCTATGGAAAGGCAAATATTCTGAGCCAATTTATGTACAACCAGAATGGTTCTTACACCATTCCACTGACATCTAAGCTGAGCGCTCATGAAGGGCAGGTGCATCAGGTATGTGCATGCATAATGCATAAATCAGGATTCTGGATCCAAGAATGATTTATGCAATTAGATTTGATATGAATGAAATAGAACACTTATTGTAAATAAAATTATTTTTCTATATTAGTGAATAAACAGAAAATTATTAATTTCAGTAAGTGAAATATAAGCTGATTAAATATTATATAACACATACATTGACAATTCTAAATATACGATTGACTTTTATTGTTAAAAGAATAGAAAACATTCCTTAATATGTTCTCACTAATATGAAGGGCAATCATACAAGGCAGCACATATGCATTTCCAATACGTTTGACATCATCTTAGCTTAGGAGTAGGAAACTTCCAATTATTTTGATCTGCAACTCCCACTAGGTATCTCATCACTGGTTATGTTGAATAAGGCTGATGGGAACTGTGAACTAAAAACATCTGGCGGATCATAAGTTGCAGCACAGTTTTTTCACACCTAAGCATGCTTCAAATTTGGTGAGACAAGCACAACTACTTGAAAATCTAAACAAGCAATCCACTGAGGTGGGAACCATACTTTTTCCTCCTTCCATCCCTCCCTCCTGCTCTCCCTCCCTTCTCTCTCCCTGTCTCTCTCTCTCTCTCTCCTCTCTCTCTCTATATATATATGAATTGAACTTACAATTTCAGATGAACAACTATATATTCCATGCAATATTCAAAGATATTTTCATCTGGTGATAGTTTCCAACATCAGATGTTTCGTCTAATATAAAATTGGGATTATACAGTTTAAGTGGTTGACTAGTTGCAGACTTCTGCCTGTCTAGTTATTTACTGCAGTTTTTTAATGCCTTAATTTGCCCTTTTTGTTAAAAAAAGATCTTGGACAGCTGCAAGCCAAAAAGACCTTGGACAATCAAGTACTAGATTAATTTGGTAGTCATGTACCAAACTACTATATCTGCAAATTAAAATTACAATTGCCACAATCTAATACAGCTAAGCATACTAGAATCTATTTAAATGAACAGCTTTAGTGGACTTAACTCTGCACTGGATTGTGGCTATCAAGTTTATTGTGACATTCTAACAATTGTGTGTATTATATACACACATACGTACACACAAACCCATTTTAGTTAAAACACTGACTACAATGTAATACATTTGGTCTTTTCTGAACTTCCAAGTGTCACTAAGTTTGTGTTTCAGTAAGTGATTCAGTAAGCAGGTCATTCAATGGTTCAGTGCCATCCACTGGTGTTTTATTGGCATCTTCACTGGACTGGCTCTGACTAGATTGATCAATACTAGCATCCACTTGCTTTCTATTGGCCTCTTCATTATGACGGTTTTGGCAATGGGTTAAATGTTTCTTAAATCCTCTAGGAAAATTTGACTCAAAGCTGCAACGGGGACATTTAAGCAAACTCTGACCATGTGCTGCAACATGGTTTTTAAGGTGAGATTCCAAGAGAAAAGCCTTTCCACATATGTCACACTTGTATGGACTGTGGACATTATGCTTGTTAACCAAGTGATGCAAAACAGCACCTTTTTTCATAGCCCGACAGCAACAAATTTTGCAGTAATATTTGCCTTTGCCGCGTTTCATATACTTTGCAATCTCTTCCTCTGAGATAAAAGCTTCCTTCTCTTCTGTGAACTGCAACATACACTGAGGCTGAGTAGGAGAGCCTATATCAATTTTAGTCTCTTTATTGTGATCAGAAGATTCTGTATCAAATTGTTCTTGATCACTGATAGATTCTTGTTCTTTTACTTCCGATGTTTCCATCTCAGTATTTCCACTTTCACTGCTATTTAGGTCTATATTAGATGTCTCCTGATTTTCCTTCTTGGGTTTCTTCTTTGGACAAGAATATAAAACTTCTTCTGTAGGCTCCTTGACCTGTACAGACTGTTCTTTTGGAGCTAATAGACTACTGAATGGATTCTCACTTTCTGGATGCTCAGTAAAGAAATCTTTACTACCAGGTTCAGTACATGCCTGCAAGTCTGAAAAAACAGGGACAGCAGGTTGGCTGAAGTCAGAGACAGCAGTTTTGTGGACTTCCATGCCTGATGTTTCCACTGATTTGTGGACATCAGAAGTGAAGACTTGCTTTTGATCAGAGGGAGCAGTTTTCTGAAGTTCAGGTGAAAGGGAGTGTTTTGAAGGCTCAGCAAAGAAACCTTGCCTTTGTTTCTCAGGGGAGCCAGGTGGTGGCTTCTGAAGTTCAGCAAAATTTGCATGTTTCTGGATTTCTGGAGAAATTGTAGGAGACTTCAGCACTTCATGAGAAAGAACAGCTGTTTTCTGAGGTTCTGAAAAGGAAACATGGTCTTGAATTTCAGGAGAAACAGCAACATGTTTCTGAGGCTCTGGAAAATAGGCATGCTTGGGAGCTTCAGGAGAAACAGGAGTAGATCTATGAGATTCAGAAAAGAGAGCATGTTTTTGTACTTCAGGAAAAGATATATGAGTTTCATGGAAGAATGATCGCTTCTGTACCTCAGCAGACACAGGAGGAACAGGTTTTTTAGGCTCAGGAAACAGTGTCCGTTTTCTAGACTCAGAAATCAAAGCACGCTTTTGCAATTCAGAGGAACCAAATGGGGTAGGTTTCTGAGTTTCTGAAAAGAAAGGAGATTTTCGGGAATCTGAAGAAAATTTCCATGGATCAGGAGACACAGAAGGAGCTGGCTTACGTTGCTCAGGAAAGAAAGATGATTTCCAAAGTTCAGAGGACATAGGAGGGCCAGTTTTTCTAAGCTCTGTTGACATAGAAGGAAGTGGCGGAGGAGGGGGAGGGGGAGGGGGTGCAGGGGGTGGTACTGATGGTGATGGCCTCCAGGTTTCAGGAGACAAAACAGGTTTCCAGCCTTCGGGATAAACAGAAGAAATGGGTTTCCAGGGCTCTGAGGAAGCAAGACTAGATTTCTGAGATTCTGGTAAGGAGGTAGATTTCCAAGGCTCTGGGGACATCATTGTGCCTGGCCTTCGTGGTTCTGAGGCAGGTCTCCTAGGCTCAAGTGGCATAGATGTGGGAGGCTTGGGGGACCAAGGTGATACAGTAATAGACTTCTGCTGCTCATGAGAAATACTAGTAGTAGTCCTCCAGGGCTCTGGAGCAATACTGGGGGTAGATCTCCAGGGATCTGGGGAGAGTGGTGGCTCAGGTTTTCGTGGTTCGGGGGAAAGTGCTGAGGCAGGCCTTCGCATTTGAGGAATATGCCTGCGAGTTTCTGAGGACAAAGAAGTAGATTTCTTTAGCTCAGGAGAAAGAGCTGGAGAATGCCTGCGGGGCTCGGGAGACACAGCTGGAGAATGCCTGCGGGGCTCGGGAGACACAGCTGGAGAATGCCTGCGGGGCTCAGGAGACACAGCCGGAACAAATTTCTGTGGTTCTGATGCAGGCACAGGTGGAGATGCAGGTAGAACAGATTTTTGAGACTCTGGAGATACAGGTGGAACGACTTTTTGTGATTCCAAAGATACAAGTGTAGATTTTTCTGACTCTGGAATAGATACATGCAGTTCCGGATGCACAACAGTAAGGGGTTTTTGTGGCTCGATATATGTAGCTGTAGCAGGTTTCTGTGGCTCGGGGGATAAAGCTGAGACTAGTTTGGGTAGCTCTGGGGACTCAACTGAGGCAGGCTTCAATGGTTCTGGAGTCACAGAAGGATTTGGTTTAAGTGGATCTGGCTTTGGAAGCTCTGATGCAACAGAGGTAGGTTTCTGTGGCTCTGGGCAAGCAATAGGAGCAACTTTCTGTTGCTCCACTGATGCAATTGGGGTGGGCTTTTGTACCTTGGAAAGCAACCCTGCATCAGACTTCAGGAGTTCAGAAGGAGATTTCTGAGATTCTGGAGCCACAGTGGATTTATGAGACTCAGGTGACAGAGAAGGCTTTTGAGGCTCCACACAGATAGGCTTCTTTAGGGTTTCCGTGTCTAAAAGATCTTTCTGCTCTTCGTTCCATTTGTCAGGCCCTGCATGGTGTGCTGTGATGTGATAATAAACATTGCAATACATCTTGCTGGTAAAAAAACATTTATGGCAGTGGAACAACTTTGCACTTTTCTGGTAAAATATAAGTTTTCCCAATCCTGCAGTATCCATTTCATCACAAAATTCAGGATGGATAGTACCCATGTGTATCTGTATATTTTCATAGTCAGAGCCTCTGAAATTGCAGTGATCGCATTCTAAGCGTTCTGTTGTTTTACGCAGGATCTTCAACATGTCAACTCTTCTACTGTCAACTTGCATAACACTACACATGTTTCAGACTGTATGTTCTGGTATTCCTGAAACAGAATTTTAAAAATTAGTTCATAAAACATGGAAAAGTTGTTCTCATTAAAATGAGAATGACAGCTCGGCTATTAATATATCCTAAGAAAAAAACAAACAGTCCTTGTTTGGAGATACAATGCACAGTTAGTAAGTTCTACACTCCTTCCCCAACTTTCCAGTAAAATACTGAAGTTTCCACCCTATCACAATCTGCACAAAAGATTCTGACTATAAGTCACTCCATTGTTTCTAAAGCTATCCTCAGACTGTTTACTGCTTCCAAACGGTTATTTCTGTTGCAGAAAGCCTAGCTAAATAATCTACAGATAATGTCTAGCTAAATCACATAAAAGTCAAGTTACTCATACTAGTCCATGAGAAACAAATCCAAAATCCACCACGGGGCATATCTTTATTAGGACCAACTTAAATTCCACAAAAAAATGAGCAAGGTTTCAAGTTCTGCAGAACTCTTCATTGGGGTGGATTGTCCAAAAAGTAGGGGTGGAAGAAGCAGCAGAAAAATCCAAAGCTTTAGCCTCATGCGGTGCCTGGGCAATCTGTAGTCAGAAATGCCTAGTCTCTTACTAAACATTACTGAGTGGGAAGTACTGCAGGTATCAGATTACACCTAGCAAGGCATATTGTGTGTGAGGGAAGCAACAGTGCATGTTGTTTCCTTCACAGCACATGAGGAAAGTTAAAAGGGGCTGCAGGAAGAAGGGAAAGTTGTACTGTACAGACAGAAGTCCACTCATGCAACACTGAATAATATCCATAAGCTTTAATAATGCAAATATAAAGTTAGAAATCTTAACAAAAATATGCATTAACAGGTGACATTTATTATATAATGAAGGATCCCCATAAAAATATTTATTGGCAATATTTAGAAATAACACTAATGGGAGAGAGAGAAGCAACACATTTATGTTACTGTTATGTAGAGAAGTTTTAAGTTTATAGTCAGAATCATCTAATTGTTACTGATATGCCCCTTCATGAAAGTGTGCCATTTCATGCTGCTTCGGTACAGTTAGATTTGGTAGCCTTTGTCTCACATAGAGCACACATAACTAATGACAATAACTTGAATTCTACATCCATTTTATACGAAATAACCCAGGAAGCAACCTTAATGTAGTTTTTTTAAAGGAGCATTCCTCAAGGTGGTATCCTCCTGATTTTTTAAAATTACATATTCCATAATTGTTATCAATTGACCATATTATGCCAGAACTGATGGGAGTACTAGTTCAAAACATATGGAGGGTACCATGCTGGAGAAGACTGCTTTAAAACATTATATACTACAGCATAGCCAAGATTAAAATATTATAGCATTAAACTATTTTATATTCAAACTATCAACAATATAGAACTCACACAAAACCTATGGCTTATATCTTTCAAGGTGCTAATGGAGTATAGAATTTCAGAGAATAAGCTAGGAAACAGAAGCCACTGGTCATTTAAAAAAAAAAAAGCAATGATGGTTTTAGGCAGGTTGGTTTCTGCAAACAGATAATACAGGCCTGACTTAAGATTATTGAAATAATACATGTGATGCACTTGGAACACTTAAGAAAAGCAGAATAGTAATAAAAATATTTCCATTTTATTTTTCAATATAAAATACTCCATCACTATGGTGGATATGCATACAGCCACCATTGGTTTGTTTTCATGGATACATGCATGAAAAACACTTGGCTTCTAATGTGACCTTTTCTTATATAGCATCTTCACATTCTTCTTCAAATACAGATACACCCTTTGTGACACAAAACTTTCCATCCACTCTACTTTTGAAGATAAATTCCAAGTACATCGCTCCAGATTAGCCATTGCCATTTATCCTTCAGTTGGTTATTTTTACTGTGTCTTAAAAGTTTAAAAATTTTAAAATATAGCACTTTGAAATGGTTTTTAATGTCACCACCCGTACCAAGTATTTAGAGACAACTTACAAAATTTTAAAGTAAAGACACCCATATGATGCAACAAAATTCTACAATAACAACACCTCTCTTTATATACCTCAAGAATGATTTTTAAAGTATCTTTGCATCTAAAGATGGATTGATCTCTTGAACAGAGTTTCCATGTAGTTGACTAGAGGCTGCTACTTTAGGTATATGAGAGGTATGGAAAATCTGTTTTTGAGTGAGGGGCTGGATGAACCCTAACCCAACCCTCTGGAGCCAAATGATGTGAGGAGCTTGGGTACACTCCCTGATGTCATTTGTTTCCTTGCCAAAGCACCAGCTGAGACAATTCCACCCACTTGGAAACTTGCCTTCTAAGCACATGGGCTTTCCCCAGCCACAGAAAGCACCTAGTACATCATTCACCCTCCTAACTGGGATGTTGAGCAGCACACTAAGAAGAATCCCTGCTATTCCGTCTGATCATCTCACCAGTGTTGAAAGCACATACTTTATTTTTGTATTAATGTATGAATTGTTTTCAAACATCCTGTGTATGCTACTGTAATTCACCTTGTTTTGTGAACTGACAACAAAGAAATCATTTAAATATATAAATAAATCGCGCTTTGAAGGAACCACCTGCAGCCAAATGAAAAATCTAACCTTGTTAGCGTCAAGGCCTCATCTTATTATACCCCCTTCATATCTGAATTTAATGGGGTTAACTCTGTAGGAAACGTGCTTGGGATGTCAATCGTGGGAGAACGATTGGCTACTCCATTCGGTGTTGTCTTCTGTCTGAAAGAACCAAGGATGGCAGACCACCGTGTAGAGAAAATGACTGAACCTCGAGTGCGTCTGGAAACCTCGAGCTAAGCCTCGAGTGCGTCTGGAGAAGGACTGCGTCGGACGTTTATGAAAACAAGTTTTGCCAGATCGAACCGGGGGTGGAAAGCTGTCAGGGCTCTGCGATTCAGGCTGGAGTATTTAACAAAGGAGGCGGCGGTGGAGAGGAGCGGCTGTGCACGAAACCCGGGATGGGGAAGGCGCAATCGCACGCACGTAGGAAGGCTCTGCGGACAGAAGGGGGGAGGGGACAAATGAGTTTGGGCAGCGCGGGAAGAAGAGGAGGAGGAGGAGGAGGAGGAGGAGGAGGAGGGAAGGAGGGAGGAGACGCTCCTCTCCAAACCCCAAGTTTCACACATGAGGGGGGAAGGTTCCTCCCTTTTCTGCTTCCCTCACGGTATTAACGGACTGAGCGGGTCCGGCGAGGAAGGAGCCGCGCAACGACAAAATACGTACCCAGAAGAAAACGACGGCCCTCCTCAAACGCCTCCCCACAATGGCGGCGCTTCCCACAAGCTGGAGGGAAATGCCATAAAACAAGGCGAGGGGAAAGCGGAGAGAAAATGAAGGCTAGGACAAAGGAAGAGCGGGAGACACAAGTCACATGCCCGGTTTGACGCTTTTTTATTGGTTCACGGCGTCCGGCCGCTGCCCAATCGCCTCTCAGAACACGCCCCGCCACTGTTGTGAAATTTAAAGCGCAGGCGCATGACGGAGTAGGCGGGCGTGATGTTGTTGGGGGAAGTTTTCGCGAGGGGGGAAGCGTCATAATACTGCCCCGCCCCTCTCTCGCCTGACTGAGGTGGGCGGGGCAGGCGGCGGTGGGCGGAGTCATAGTGGCCGAGGGGACTGAATAGGAAGGTGCCGTACATGACTTAGTCCTCACTTAGGTAGTAAACCTTAAATGACTGAATCCTCCTCCAAATCTATATGACAGCAGACCATGAAGAAGGTTTCAGTCTAAGGTTTCAACTGGCGTGAAGGGTTCGCTTTCTGTATGCAGGAGTCGTTTATTATTGAGTCCCCACCATATGCATTCTGCATGTTACACCTGCTGAAATTCCTACTTCTGTATTAGGGATGAGTAGAAGGAAGATCGGGATCAGCTGGTAGATCTCTTGAGTAATTTGCAAATGTATTTATTTAAAACTTTTATAATCTATACCAATGGATTGGTAAAGATTTCTGATTCATAGCAAGGAGAAAATTTTGGTACACACACAGCCCAGTGTGGTGTAGTGGTTAAGAGCGTGGGACTGGGACTCAGACGATCTGGGTTCTAGTCCCCACTCGGCCATGGAGCCAACTGGGTGACTTTGGGCCAGTCATAGACTCTCAGCCCAACCTACCTCACAGGGTTGTTGTTGTGGGGATAAGATGGAGAAGGAGAATGATGTAAGCTGCCTTGAGCCCTTTGTAGGAAAAGGCAGGATATAAATAGAAATATAAAATAAATAAATAATAAATAAATAAATAAATTATGATGCTGATCTAAAGAAAGCTTGAGATAAACAGAAGTGGGTTTTTGTGTAGAAAGAACATGAGCTTGTTCATTTCTGGTACTTTGCATTTCTGGAACTAGCATTCTTTAATTCTAAACAGTTTGCTTTTCATCTGGTTCTTGGGATTCAAGTACTAGTAGTAATAGTAGATACTGTTGTCTGCCCAATAATTAAAGGCGAGAGAGTCTTGTTCTGTTTTGCCATCTGTCCCTCATGCAACACCGCTGCATGCTTCTGCAGAGGAATCGGGGGTATGTGCGTTCTCAGTAAATGTAGGACACACTGTCAACCTTTCTAAATTCTCTGGTTGCATGTTGCTTCCCTATAGGTTGAAGTGTTTGATCCTGCCTAATCTTGGAGGTTAAACAGGGTTAGGCATAGTTGAAATCTAGATAGGTGACTTAAAATGTTGTGAACTTTCTAGAGAGCTTTGACTACAGGAGGTGTAGAAATATAAGGTAATAATGTTGTAAGGGGAGATTGATTTTTACCAATATTAGTCCTGTGTATTTCTAGTCTAGTTGCAGAATCTTTATAAGCTTTTGAGGAAACCATAAGAATCCACCAGTGGATTGGAAATTACTAGTCCAGATGATAACAGATGGCATTTCCTAATTTCAAGACAAAAGACAACAGTGAATACAAAGATCATAGCAGAAGATGATCCTCATTTATAGAAATTACAACTCGGTTTAAAAAGCACATATATTGGCATATATACATACACAAATTTTGGTATAATTCATCAAAGGCTTTCTTCTTTCATCACTACAATGTGATGTGGCTGCAGGGGGAAAAAGGTTACTTTGGACTGCATTATTTGAAGTATAGCTTCCAAATCACACAAGGTACTAGTTCCCTTCTGTTCAACACTGCTTAGGACCCTTTGTGTGCATTGTGCCCAGTTCTAGGCACCACACTTCAAGAAGGATGTAGGTAAGTGGGAGGAGGTTCAGAGGAGAGCCACAGAGATGATCCGGGGACTGGAAGCTAAGCCCTACATGGAAAGATTGCGTGAACTGAGCATGTTCAGCCTTGAGAAGAGAAGACCAAGGGGAGATATGATAGTACGCTACAAGTACTTGAAAGGCTGGCACAAAGAAGGAGAACAGGATCTCTTCTTGATCATCCCAAAATGCAGTACATGGAATAATGGACTCAAGTTACAGGAAGCCAAGTTCCAGCTGAACATCAGGAAAAACTTCCTGACTGTTACAGCAGTACAGCAATGGAACCAATTCCCTGAGGAGGTCATGGGCTCTCCCACACTGGAGGCATTCAAGAGGCAGTTGGACAGCCATCTTCCAGAGATGCTTTAACTTGGAGTCCTGCACTGAGCAGGGGCTAGACCCTTATTGGCCCCTCCTGTCTCTTTGATGCTGCTGGAGTCTGGAAGATCCAGGTACTGGTGGTGTCATATCTCAAGCAAAGGAGAGCTCTTTGAGGGCAGGGGTGAGAACAGCAAAATTTTAGAGCACAGTCCTGTGCATGTTTAGATAGCAAACAGTCCCTACAATTACCAGCATGCTTCAACCAGGGAACGTGAATTATGTTAGGCAGTTAAAACAAAAAGAGAACATGAAGTGTTCTGGAAGGATCCCCTCCAGACTGGGAGAATGCTACTAAAATGGTAAATGTGCCCCAACTGGGAGAATAATATTAAAAGGTGCATATCTGAAGTTATATACACTGTGGCAAAATTTTTCTAGCTTCCTGTATTTACTGATGGAGTCTGAGCTGGCAGTAACCAACCAAGGAAGGGATAGCTTCATAAAAACATTGACCTACTGTTCTGAAAATGCCCATTTTCATGATGGGGATACTAATAAAGTAAGAAAAAATAAATAAAACTGCCAGTATCGATCTTGGAGAAATCATACTTGGAATACTGCATTTAGTGTTGCTCATTGCACTTTGAAAAGGGTACTACAGAGCTGGCAAAGGTGCAAAAAAGGCAACCAAAACATCAAATAGGCTGTAGAAAGTGGATAGCAAGAAGTTGTTCATCTTCGTATAATGCTGGAATCCAAGGTCATCCACCATGAAGAAAATAGTGGGAAATTAGGGACTGATAAAAGGACCAAACTGTGGAATTTCCTACCATAAGATGTAGTGATGGTCACCAACTTCTATAGTTTTAAAAGGGGATTAGACAAATTCATGGATGGCTATGCAGTATCATATCAGAGGCAGTGTGCCTCTATATACTAGTTGCTAGAAAATGCATGCAGGAGGGTGCCTTTGTGCTCGTGTCCTTCTTCTGGATTTCCATGGTCGTTTAGTTGGGCACTGAGAAATGGCCAACAGTTGCCTTGGGTCATATGTCTACACCCCATCTTGCATCACAGACATCATGTGTGGCCCTTTGGCCCTGCCCCCTGCCCCCCCCCCCCCCGTGTGCCAATAGATAGCAAAGGTTCGTGCATCTGATGAACCTGAATCTACTCCATGAAGAATATGCCACAATACAGCTATCAGTTAGTCTTTTCAGAGGTTAGAAGAACCTCTCTCTGTTCATGAAATGCAAAGTTTTTTAGTTGGTTGCTGACCCCTAGTGGCTTATGGCTTAAAAGCAGTAGTGAAAAATAAGAGCTGCCACACAAAACACTCTAATTTGTTTTGGTGGAAATGAACACTTTTCTTTGTTCTCGTGCCTGTGCAACAGAACAGTTCAGTGACGTTGACACAAGAAACAATATCTCCAGTCCATTCATTATCTTTAACGAAGCTCAGATAAGCCATGGTCCCAATGGAGGGCTGCACTAAGGGTGACTTTTTAAATTTTATTTTGTGTTGCTTTTTTTCTTTTTTCATTGGTATTTGTATCTTTTTAAAATATTAAAAAAGAAGCTCAGATAAAATCAGACAATATGCAACATTAATATAATACCTGTGCTACTGAAGAAATGAAAGCATGTGCACAGATGTACTTGATTAGGTGCAAGAACACTGTTAAGTTGTACTGCTGTTGCTTGTTACATGCCGTGATGTGTTTAACTCCTCTTGGTTTTGTCTAAAGCAGTCATTTTCAACCCAATGTCCTCCAGATGTACTGCATTTTAACTCCTATCATCCTCAGACAGCACGTTTGGGAACTGATCCTAAGAATGTAGAATGAGAAAAATATTTTTAGTTTTATGTACAACTGCGGTGGAGCATGATCTAGCCAAGTTTAAGCATGTTGAACATCCACTGACTTCAGGAAGCTGGATAAAGTATGTGCTTAATACTTACAATGAAGTCAGTTGGACATGCAGCCCAATCCTGAGGATATTTATGTAGAACTAAGCCTTTCACAGTTCAGCGGGAATTGCTCTCAATTAACTGTGCACAGGATTGTACCTTTAAATGTGCTGGATCATGCCAAAGCATCTTGTTGTTCTGCCCTTAGGCTTTTTGGTTTTTCTGTTCCTATAAGCCCAATTTTATCTTTAAGAACCAGAGAAAGTTTTAAAACCTAAACAAATGTAAGCCCTTCTGATGGAAATACTTTTGTGTAGTGTCAAGTGAAGAGCGTCATCCCTAGATTTTTTTTTTTTTTCTGCTGCCTACGAAAAGGCATTTCTGTAACGAACAGTGGTGGTCAATTGCTATTTCTAGACACATGCAAAGGTGCTTGCCTAAGGGCTTTTACTAGCTAATGGCTACTATGTACTAGACATATGATACTTACTTAAAGGGTGACTGGAAGATCCAGTCTGACCATTATTTTTAAACATATTTTTAATTGTGAATTTCAAAATCAAAACCCAAAGAACAGCAAGGGAAAAACAAAAATAAAATATTGCAGTTTTCTTACATGATATTTAAGTAAACCTATCACAGTGAATCTCTGAGAGGTGGTGGAGGACAGGAAAGCCTGGAGGAATGTTGTCCATGGGGTAGTGATAGGTCGGGCACAACTTTGTGACTAACAACAATCACAGTGAATACATATAATCCATGTACCCTATATATTTTATGTGTAGCAAGCTATGCTACTATTATACTATGTTCTAGTCATGCTATACTATTATATTATACCATATTATGCTATGATACTAGATATCCTTAGACTTCAACAAAGGCAGCTCAAATATCCATATATTTGTCCATTTATAAATGAGGCCTTAAGCCCACCTGTTTAAAAACAAACGTTTCATCAAGTCCTCTGCCCATGGTTTCATTGCAAGCATCCATTTATCCTTCCAGTGCAGTCATACTAGCCTTTTAACATCTGTACTACCCAATAGCCAAAGTTGTCTGGGCAATTTACAGCAATCATTTTACTTTACTTGGAGCTTGCTTTAAATTCCAAGAGGCAGGCACATGGTTTCGAAGAACATGTGTAATATGGTAAAGAACTTTCTATCAGAAGATGTATCCGAATTATCATCTCCTCCCAAAAGGAAGCAGCTGTTCAGCATTGCCAAAGCATATGAGTATGATGAGTGCTGGCCGATTTAATTAAGTCATTATTGAAAAGACATTGTGGCATTCAATATACTTGAAACATCATTTTTTGCTGAATTAAACATAATCTAATATGCATTAGCGCTTCTGAACTAGATGCTAACATAGCACCCAACTGACTGGGCAAAAAATAGAGTGCTGCAATTCAGTATTCTGTTCTTGCTTAAGACCCTGCATATCACATTGTTTACCAATAACAGATATTTATAAGTATGGATTGTGGGCTGGTTTGCAATGTAACTCAGCAAAACCTGCTTGTTAAATGGCTCATTGTTTATCAACGAACCATTAAGACACCAAAAACCAGTTGGCCATGGGCAGTGTGTGCATAGCAAATCTGAATAAACTGGAGCAATGTCTTACCATGCCTCAATCTTACAGTCTCTAATTTGGCATAGCAAGGATGTGAAAAACTAACAAAGTAATTACAGTAAACAGAAGATATAAATATATAATCTCTCATCAGGATACATAATTCTCCAAGGGACAGTCCATTAGTACTATTTTCAGACTATTCCTATCAAGAGGGGATCTATGATTTCATTAAAGTCCCTCCCACCATCAAATAGTCATGCTCCAATCAAGCAGTTTGCTGAACCTTCATGAAAGATAACTGAAGAGTCACTGGGCCCATAAATGTTAATTATTTAACAATTGTTTTCTTGTTGAGTTTTCCAAGTTCAATAAAAACACCTCAGCACCAATAAAAACCTGTTGAACTGAAAACAAAAGTTGTTTATGGATTCAGATTTCTATCTATTTAAGTAACTGTTCAATTTAGTTAAGTAGCTGAAGCGATTCAAATTGCTACCCAGGCTCTTGTCAGCTGATATGTATCTGCTATCAGCAGATGTGTTGCTTGTTGAAAAGCTGCATCACTGCAATATTTCTTTGGTTTGGAAAGTACGTTCGTCTATTTATTTGGATTCTGCAAATGGCATTCCACTTTAAACAGGAAACAGTAGTAATTATATTGTTTGACCTTGTATGCATACAAATCTTGCCCCTTCTACCTGTTCCTCAATACATTAAGATATGTCATAGATATATTACATTTCCAGCCACCTCCACAGTGTCCTTCTCTCATACCATGAAGGCAGAAAACAAATTGAAAAGAAAAAAATGAAAACAAACAACAACAAAAATTCCAAAATGATGAAAAGAAAACAACAACCAAGAAAGTAGTGAGATACCTAGAGCTTAATCTAGTCAAACTGTGTAAACTATGACTGAATGCCCAGACGTTTCCATGAGAAGGTGAATGGAACAGAAATCTTAGTTTTTGTAGCCAGTTGTAAGTGGGAAAGCAATGCTACTTTAAAGCTGAATGGCTATTTCTGTGCTTGCTAGACTCAGGTTAGAAATGTATATATTGACATCTTTTAAATTTTTTAACACTCTGTTAATAAATCAATATTTTAACTGCTGCTCCTGAAAGTGGAAAACAGCCTTTAAGAACACTTGGGCTGCAAACAAAGCCATGCATAGTTTCTTTTCTTTCTCTTTTTTTACTGTTGACCAACTGACAAGGTAAACACTGCACACCTGAGCCCTCCCTAGGTAAAGAAAGTGACCTCAGGAATGCAAATGCAGCCAGCCCTGTTATGTATGGAGCAAGCCGAGTGGGATGAGTTTAAGCCCTCTTTATAGAGTCCATGGAAACAACCTTGTGAAATTGTTGCGAGCTGCAAGCAAGCAGTTCAAGGCAAAATCAGAATGAGCTCTCTACTGCAGGAGAAACTCTGTGAAGTTCATACTCAGGCACCTCCTCCCAGCAAAGACTTTCATCACTTAACTATCACAAAAACTGAGGTAACATAGCATTGATCGCTTGTTTATCTCCAGGTTAAAAGGTCTGTTGAGTGTTTGCTGAAAAATATGCAGAGAAATGGGGAAGCTGCACCTGTTGAATTTCTACACTTGTCTTGCAACTGTTAGATGAAGAGAGTTTCCATCAGGGAAAAGGGGTGGCGATCTCAGGCTTGGTTTTTCAAGCAATCCTGGACTGATTTGTTAGATTTGTCAACCTGCAACTTATGCTTATAAATCTGACATAGGAAAAAGCAATTGGTGGCAACCCTCACGTACTGTGCTTCTCACTCTATAAGCGGTATAATAAATGCCTGTACAAACCTAAGTTGTCAACCAAACCTTCCATTTCCTGGTCCATATCTAGGATGAGAGTATTTTCAGAGGATGCTTGTATGTCACCTTCACGTGGCTTCATTCATAGAACTGAATGGGGATGGGGCCTGCCATTGTTGCCTTCAATCTATAATCCTCCTGTGTTTTCGCACTGCTGCTTTGATCTTTTCTCACACCACAGATAGTCCATTAAGAAAGAGGACACTCAGAGGACTAATATTACAAAACTGGAAGGGTAATGAGAATCTTGCAAGGAATACGTGAAAGAGAATCTATGAACTGATGACTTTTGGACATCAACAGCAAAAACACCCTTGTTTAGATATTCAGTCTGCTTTTCTCAAAACTCATGTATAATTGCTAGAAAATTGTATGCATTTGATTCTAATCCATGTACATTTATTTTTAAAAGATCAAACTTTTAAAACTTTAAAAATAAAATATTGGATGTCCAAGACACCACACTGGGGACCTCTTCATGGGCAGCATTGGAGGAGCACACAGACTTTGGAACCCTCTGCCTGGAAGCAATCAACTGTTGGCAAAGCAAATTGCAGAGAAAGCCTACCCTGACTGTGTCTTTTGATCTCTGATCATTCAGGTTATCTGGAAATCATGGAGAATTTCGTTTCGACCTAATCAAGAAAGATTTTTCCCAAGAGAGGTGAAGAAACTCCATAAAGATTTTCTCTTGGATGAACCATTACACAGCAAGTATTGAATTGGCAAAGAAATAGCGCCATGTTGTAATTATTTCTAATAATTATATTTTTGTCCAAGCAGTGTTGCATCTTAAGGATCACACCATGAGTCCAATCCTTTACATGTTTACTCAGAAGCAATCCCCACGGATTGCAACGGGACTTGTTCCCTAGTAATACTGATTATGTGTTTTTCCTTGGAGGTAAGTCACAGATAGTTGAACAGGATTTACTCCCAATGAAGCGTGCATTGCATTGCAGCCTTAGAATTAATATTCAGCATTGCCATCTTTGGGTGGAAGTGAAGCTAGGCTCAGTGAGCAGGTTCCCACATCACACCACCTGCCCCGGCAGTAAGGCATGATGGGTTGATTGTGGTAGGAACAGGCCACAGCGCTCGCTGTGGGGTATCCCCCTCCTCCTTCACCCTTGGTCTATCAGCCAGCATGCCAGAGGACTTTGCAATTCAAGCTGCTTTCCCCACACAAGCCATTTTGGCTTGCTAGGCCTCCTCCCCCACACACACCCATTCTTACTTTTTCAAGAGATCTACCCGGAGGAGGGTTTTCTCTGCGGTGGCGCCCCATCTATGGAATGCGCTCCCCAGAGAGGTCCGCCTGGCGCCGTCGTCGTTATTTGTTTTTCGGCACCAGGCTAAGACCTTTTTATTTAAAACTTATTTTAATTGTTAATTTATTTGTATTTATGGATGCTAAATCTTTTAAGCCGAGATGCACCAGGTTTTAATATTTTTATTGTATAATTGTTATATTTATGTATTTTGTTTTTGTTGTGAGCCTCCCCGAGGCTTTGTTGCGATGGGGGCGGCAAAAAAAATGTTTTAAATAAATAAATAAATAAATAAATAAATAAATAAATAAATAAATAAATGTATGTATGTATGTCTGTTTTGACAGTCACAGACCCTCCCAAGTGTCCATGCAACATATTGATAGTTTATCATGCAAGTGGTTTAGCAATTCTCATAAATAAATTTGGGACCAAGTGTGCACAAACAGATTTGTTGATTTATTTTTAAATAGTCAGAATTGCACAGTCCCAAAAAGTGCTAGAAGCATTTGGGAAGATGGGAATGTGTGGAGTATGGAGGTCTGACAGCTTTTAAAAAACCTTTAAAGGGAAGCAGAGGTATGGCACCTCGCTGTCAAACCTTGGGTTCCTTTTCAAGGGTTTTTAAAGTTTTATTTTGACAGGGCTCCCCATGTTTTGTTCACAGGGGCACATTGCTGGTTACTGCTTTTGCACTGCCCACGGGCCCCCACCTGCAACTCTCAAAACACCTGACATTTACCATATGTGGCTGTTCCCTTGAGCAAGTCTGGCCACCCCTGTTCGAGGGAATCCTTAAAGGTGGTGCCTTAACTTGTCAGAGACAAGGCACTTTCACCACCCACATCAAGCTGCATCCCAGCTTCCATGTAAAGAATTGGAGTGAGACCTTTCTGTAGATGGGGGTCCCTCTCCTCTTCTTTGAGGGCTGTGGAGGAGGTGTGCCACTGAAGACAAGAACCAATTTTAACTGATGAGAGCAGATTTCATTCCTTGCAAACAGTGTGTCCTAAAGGGTACAATGAGTTTTTCATTCAAATCTTGGTGTCAGTTCTCATAACCATCTCTGATGCCATACTCTTAGAGACAGATGGTTCAGGGCCCCATAGTATAAACCCCCTCGAAAATAAATAAATAAATAAATAAATAAATATCAGCCAGAAAATGGCAATTGATGAGGACATCAGGGTAATAAATGCAATGCCCATTTGGTTCTCATGGTGCTATAATTTAAGTGACCTTAGTATGTAAAATTGAAAATGCCATGTGCAATTCTCTCCTGAATTGCCAAACTTTTAAATATATAAGGGACAAAGAAAATGTGTAAAGCATAGAATCACAGGTTGGAGGGGAAGAGAAATGTTAGTTGTTTGCTTCACAACGGAAGTAACACACAAGGCCACCAGAGGGGTCTCCCTAGGCATGAAGTCCAGGGTCTAACCTGACCTAGCTATGCCACTGCTCCCCTTGCAGAGCAGTTGTGTAAAGGCTGTTGCAGCGTATTGAACTCTGCTCAAACCAGCTCCCTCGATGCTGCTACAGTCTCTCAAAAGGTGACTCTTGCAAGCAACGTGTGAATAAGGCCATCCAAACAAAGGGCTACAACTGGCACCCCACTTCATACAACCACCTAATGACATGGGCACTTACAGCTGGACATTAAGGAGGTGGGGGGAAAAAGAACAGTGAAGCGATTGTCTTGAAATGGCATAGCACTGGCAAGTAGGTAAGGGAATGTTTAGAGGATCTGTTCATACCCCCCTCTAGAATCGTGAGATTTGAGGTTCCTTCACAATGGAAGCATTTGCTAGAGCATCCACACCTATGCATTTTGCAGCACCCCATACAATAGCCTTCTGCACTGACTGGGGATTATGGGAGTTGCAGTTAAACATATCTGGAGGATGCCAGATTGTAGAAGGCCATTCTATAAGATCACCAGAACATCTTGAAGTTAAACACCTGGTCTTTGATGGAAAAGAAAAAAAAATATGAATATGACCTTTCCTTTTAACAGTGCATGCCAGCTATTTATTGAAATGGCTGTCTGCTATTTCCTTGAGTATACCATAAAGGCATCTTCATCGAACTTTTGGAAACACATAAATGCATACTCAGTCAATAAAGCAGCCTGGGAGTGCTCCTCAACCCTGAGCTGTCATTAGAAGCTCAGGTGACGGCAGTGGCAAGGAGCGCTTTCCTTCAGCTTCAGCTGATCCATCAGCTGCATCCCTACCTGGAGAATGATTGCCTGGCGACAGTGACACATGCACTGGTAACTTCCTGATTAGACTTCTGTAATGCGCTCTACGTGGGACTACCCTTGAAGACAGTCCGGATACTTCAATTGGTGCAAAACAGAGCTGCCAGGTTGCTGACGGGGACTGGGCGTTGTTCTCATATAACCCCAGTTCTCCGTCAGCTTCACTGGCTCCCCATTGAAGTCCGGGCCCAATTCAAGGTGTTGGTTATGACCTATAAAGCCCTCAATGGCTTGGGACCTGGTTATCTAAAGGAGCGCTTGCGTCCATATATGCCCTCCCGCCCCTTGAGATCGGCAGCAGAGCCCTCCTCTGGGAACCCTCCGTGAAAGATATTAGGAGGGTGAGTACCCGGAGGAGGGCCTTCTCTGTGGTGGTGCCCCACCTATGGAATGCGCACCCCAGAGAGGTCTGCCTGGTGCCGTCGTTATTTGTTTTTCGGTGCCAGGCCAAGACCTTTTTATTTAAAAGTTATTTTAATTGTTAATTTATGAATTGCATTTATGGGGTTTTTATGCACATGCCAAGATGTTTCCGGTTTTTTAACTCTAACTGTATAAACTGTTTATTTATGTTTATTTATTATTGTTGTAAGCCGCCCCGAGGCTTTTTGTAATTGGGGCAGCATAAAAATGGTTTAAATAAATAAATAAAATAAAGGCTCAGCTAAACCCAGAGAACCATTCTGGCTAATGGGAAGGGTAGAAAATTAATAAATAAATATGAACAAATAATAAAATTCTTTCATCTGTGGACAGTCCTAATTTGAAGAGGTCCAGGCTTCACCCTGTGACACAATGGGCTATGAAGAGCACAGCTAAAATATGTTGCATCGCTCTAAGGGCTATGCAACATGCTACTGGTGCTAATCCTTACTTTTAACCTCAAAGCATGTGTGGAGAGCCCCAGTCAAGACAGACGCATGGAGAACTGAGGAGGTGTAAAGCTGGCCACCAGCTGCTTCTCCCACAGTTTGCTCACTTGTGTGTGTTGGAGGGAAGTAAAAAAGTGAAGTTCCATTGATGCTAATGAAGGTTCTCTCTCTTTTTAACCCCTGCAGCATGTGATTTAAGGGATAAAAGTGACTGGTTGCTGCTGCTCAGTTGTCTCAGTCCAGATCTGGCGGTGGGGTGGCTGACTGCCTACTATGTGAGAATCAGCCGCACACTGCAAATTTAGGTCTAAGAAGTACTTGTAAGGGTGACCTGTTGAGTATCTTAAGATGGCTACTTTCTTGATCCCTATGGCACTTTTTGGGCTGTTTCTGGCAAACTGCCTCTGCGCATCCATGATTCATCCTTGAATGATTCATCATTTCCTATGCCTCCCTCTCCCCTCTTCAGCAAATGTCCCTGTCACATGGCCCCTTTGCATAATTTGCAAACCGAGGGTATAGCTCTGACTTCATTTGCCCGTGAAGCTGCAAAAAGTAACTACGTTCTGTGTATTACCAAGCCTCATTTTTTCCATGAAAACAATTGACACTAATGGAGTACAGTGCCAAGTAAGAAGTATATTCATTGCATGGGGTTACTTTAATTTATTTCTGTCTCCTTTGTTTTTAAGGCATTCATTCATTCATGATGTAGAATTGGCTGTTTGTTCTAGTTGTGTACTTAATGAATAGTGCTAGACCACATGGTGGGGTCACCATGGAGAAATCTATTCATCAGTTCAAATACCTTAAGTACACACAGCAAGTGCTCATGGCTTTCTGATGAATATGATAATTATACCTCAAGCCAGTTTTATTTATATTTGGAAATGAAAAAGTGTTTCGCGTGCAGAGGGCTGTAGTAGAACTATCACACATATAAACAAGAAAAGCTTTGTATCTTGCTAGTCAGTGAGAACAATGTGCCTTTCATACAGCATGCCTGAGCAATTTGGAGTTAACCTTCTCAGTAGTTATTATGGCAATTTGCCCTTTACTCTGTGTGAAGCCATCCGTTCTTAGTATGGTAATGAGATTCATTTGGGGTTATTAAATGTTTGCGTATTGGCAAATGGGGTAAGCATAGTGTAGAAAATCTTTTCTTAGGTATTCTTATGACCATATTTTCCCACCAGAATTTGCTGTTTTGCAATCATTCTTTGGGGTAACCCATCTGGTTGCAGAATTGCCAAATCTGTTGAGTTGTGCTCTGATGTCCATTGATCTCATGGTCCACAAAAGAGGGCTCACTGGGAATGATCTTCCCTCCCAAGGTATGGTTTTTGGTTTTCCCAATAGATCAGGAAATAGGTATTATACTTCTACCTCTACATAATGAAGCCTTCCCACCAGATGTTTGGACTTCAATTCCCCCAGTCTATCCATGATAAGGAATGTTGAGAGTTACAGTCTAAAACATCATTTGAAGAAAAGCAAATTGGGAGAGGCTGTTGTAAGAGGCTGCTCCCTTGAAACAGAAATTAAAGGATAACCCCAGTAGATTTAAACTTGTTTAAGTAATTCTTTGTCCTAAGATTTGGTGAAGGGGGGAGGGGGGAAGGACCAGAAAGGCAAATTTTCATCAGGAGTTTGTGCCTATATAATTCCTTTTCATGTACTGAAAGCATTGTAAGGCCTTTGATAATTGCATTATTGGAGGTAAATGTTTATTCTTCTAGTTCTGTAAAATTAAGCCTTTGGCTATCAAAAAGGCACAGAGAATTAGTTTCCTCTTCCTTTTATTAATTTCCATGAAACAAATAATTTAAGAGTGTGTTCATCAATGGATAGTAAACATTTTTCAGTACATTTTTTCTGCATAATCTCACCTGCAAAAGAAGCAACTCCTAAACATTGCCAAAAGATGTTTAAAAGAAGCAGTACCTTTACTGCACCAACAGTAATTGGGTGAATTAGACAATTCCTTATTAAATATATACTGCTTCCTCCAATAGACACAAAATTAAACTTTTGTTAAATATAATACAGCATAAGATTCATAGATACAATCCAGTAATTAGACATTTTGTGATGGTGCGTACAGCAATTTCTCAAATTTCCAAAATAGGGAAAGACTGGGGAATTGTGTGATAGTATTTCTCCAGCACTCTGCACCCTGCTGCATCTTGTTACTTGTAGGACAGTGTTCATACTTAACAACTTGAGTACAGATGCTGCTGAAAAGCAACGCTGAACTTTTATCAGCTTGCTGTCACTGTAGTGGGCTTCTTAGCTGTTTTCTCCTAAGGAAAAAAAAACTAGACCTATTTCTTCTAGGTTAAAGTATTGGGGAACTCCTGGGACTGCACCTAATCTTTCAGTATCAGTAAAAATAAGAACTTTTTGGCAGTCTGGTCTGTGAAAAAACCCCAACTGAATTATGTTAGTGCATCACACATAAAGAGGATGTGGGTTTACATAAAATTTATGTAAATAGTGATTCATCTGTATGGATGGAAATTTAGGAATCATAATTTAAATACAAATGCAATGTATTTCACCAGAATGAGGAAGATTGTGTTCCTACTCAGCTAAGTAATGGTGGGTATTATCAAGACCTGCTGCTTTTCCTTCTTAGGGTTCTTTCCATTCAGACCAAACTTGGACTGGACAGCCCCTGAAAAGGGACACTTTCAAACAGAAGACTGTCTGATGAGTATATGTGTAGTGACCTGGCATCCACATAAGTGCCCTCTGGTACCTGCTGTCACCACCAAGGAACAAGAAACCCAATTTCCTCATTTCTCAAGCACCCTCAGTTTCCTAGGAATGACCAGCTAAGGAACACAGTGGGGTCCCTCGTGTGTGGCTCCTCTGCAGTCTGAGTATTGACAGCAGAGCATGACCCTAAATATATAACCTTTGTGACCCTTCCTGCTCTTAGCTCTAGGTTTTGGTGAATGCAAGGTAAAGGTTTTCTTAACGATTAAGAATAAAGTACAGGATGGGAATAAGGGATGTTGGATTCTGAGCATACAATAATAAGCAGTTTGAAGTAGCAACTCAGTAGCAAGGGACAATAAAAAGGGAAATCCCAGTCTATGAGGCACAGCTTTGCATAAGCTGTCCATCTGGTTCCCTGAAGATCTACTATGTCTGCACCAGTTCCCTGGTGCATGTGTCATGTCTTCTGTGCCTTTGCGGGGAAAGGATACTTGAGTGCCTGAACTGTGGAAACTCTGTGGAAGCATCTTTCTTGGTGTTGGGAATGAAAGACCCTGTGTTCCCTTTTCTAGTGGAGTATAGCTCTTCCAGTTCCTCTGTGCCTGCCTGGGAGACTTCAGAAGTAACTCTTGTCTTGTCTGTTGATTGTCCAGTGATGGCTAATACCCAGCTTGAAGTCAGATTCCTGTATTTTTCAAACACCTGCACACTTTATATCATTTGGCTAAACAGTAGGGCCTGGTCTACAGATGACCTCAGCCAGGTTATCTGCATTGTGATAGGGATGAGAGGATGACTGGAAACAAGGAAACAGGAAGAGTTTAAAAAAAAAAACCCCGTAACAAAGAAAATTCCTTAGCCTAAAGGAGGAGGAGGCTGAGATCAGATAGCAGGAGGGAATTGTCACATAGACAAGATACCAGGAAACTTGCTCAATGAATGACCTCATGACACCCTGCATAGGAAATAAGCTCATTATAATTCACCTGGGAGGGACGAAGCGGGAGGGAAGAACAGGTATCACTGTGGCACAGGACAGGAGGATGGAAAGGATTTGCAACCTCCCAGTGCCCTGCCCAATGAGGGAAAAGAGGAGGGAAGAAGCCGCTGGGGAAAGAGCATAAAATGGGATGTGAACATGTGCTTGACGAGCTGGCAAGGGGAAGGAAAGTCTTCACTCCCTTTATTGCAATAAAGGTTCAAAAAGAACTCTCCACTTGCCTTGAATATTTTTCTCTTCTGAAGGAAAGAGTTTGTTTGTGTGTTTCTAACACATTGGAATGTCACTATGAGATGACCTGGCCTTTTGTTAAAGAGACCTGCAGCTGCTTGCAAAATGGAGCTTCCTGTCTCTTGGCTCCAGTTAAGATGGAACCTGTAGGATCTGACTGAGTAGACCTCTCCATACTGACCTTAACAAGTATAGGTTAAATTTATTACTGAATGCGTGTTTATATGCTGAATTCAGGAATGCTTAGCTAGCGATGTGATAAATTCTTTTTTTTTTTTGCGGGGGTGTTGATCCATCACATTCCGTGGGCTCTACTTACTGGCCTGCAGACTGCTTTCTTGTGACCATGAGTTTGACTTCCTGGCAAGTCCCTGCCAGGAAGTGAGCCCATGCAAATGCTGTGCAAGCAGCATCCTTCTTCCATACATGTGACTTGTACTGTGGCACTCTCCACTGCTCTGTGTGTTCATATTTGATTCTAAGTTACAGCAGCTGATTCTTTTGTCTTCTTTCTCTAAGGAAGTAACTAACCCGAACCCTAACCCATTCATATTAATGTTTACAAAAGGAGTCTCACTGAAATAAAATTTGCAAATACGAGAACAGAACTGTAGCCTCAAGCTTGTAATTTTGGGTTTCTGCCTTGTTAGGTAATTCACAGTGTAATCCTATACATATCTACTTAGAAGTAAGTCCATAGAGTTTAGTTCCAATTAAGTGTATTGTTACCTTATTCACTCTCATTTAAGCTTATCCACTTCCTATTACATTTTATACTCATGCATGATATACATTCAACTTTTTAAGCATATATATCCACTTTTTATGAATAAGCTAAAAGCTTATTCATAACATATATACGAAAAATAAAACATCAGATACAAAATTAGCAAACCCAAATAGCAATATAATAGCAGAAATGGTGGGGAGGCCCTGCCATCCTATGACCCAAAGGACCATAGGATTTTTCAGAATCCCAGCTCCAGCTAGGACTCCATGTGTGGAATGCCTTTCTCCTCTCCTTGCAGTTAGCATGGAAAGAACCACCCCCTGGAGAAAGCATTTCAGGGGGCAGGGAGGGGAGAAGATTGGTGCCACCAAATGCAAATTATCTTGTTGGTACTTTAGCTTCTCCTTCTCCCTTTCTCAAGCATGGCAGTCAGATAGCTGATAATTGGCTTTATAGATTAGTGGGATGAAAGAAGCACAGAAGTTACCTTCCCCTCTGTACTTTTCCCATGCTTCATATGATTCCCATAATCCTCCAAGTTCACCAGGTTGTGGGCATGTGCATAGGACTGCACCCCAAGTAATGATTATGGCTAAGCCTGGTTTGTCCAAGAAGGGATGCAGTACGCACAATAGCGAAAGCTGTCAGAACCCACTGCAGTCATCACAGCTACCTGTCTTTAAATCTGTGCCTGATTAAGAAGTGCCTTAGCAATGTTTCAGACTGGTTTCCATTCTCCCAGACTTTCACAATCTATAAAAGACTGAATTCCCAATGAGACACCCTCCCAACCAATGGATCCCCACCCTACCTAGCTTCAATTCACTGCTTTCCCCCACACCCTTCATGCATACAGTCCTTTATAACTATTAGGTTATGAATTTTTCTAAATGTTATTAAGAGAACTATGCAATGCTATACATGCCTACTCAGATGTAAGTCCCATTGAAATCAGTGGACCTTACTCTCAGGTAATCAAATATTGGATTGCAATGTAATTCCATTATTCTTTCCTGTTTGCCTTCAATAAATACTGTTGTCTCTTTCTTCTACCATTTTTCTTAGCACAGTGCTTTTCTCCAAATGATTTATTCCTTGAGATTAAAAAACTGTTATTATAGAGGATAATTACTTTTCTGGGTAACTTAACTGAAAATTTTCATTCCTCAATAGAGCTTTAACATACATTTAAGCTGTGCTTTATTTTTTGTTCTGTGCTTGGGCTGAAATCTTCACTTTTGTATATTATTTTACTCAGAGCAAGTGCAAAACATCTTTGGAAATAAAATGCTAGAGTATGTTCTGAATTTGTGTCAAGGACAGTATGATTTTCTAATTCGAATGCCTGACAATCTGATCATACACATCTTGTCGTTTCTAACTATGGAGGATATTAAGCAGTTGTCAAAAACATGTAAAAGATTTCGGCAGGTAAGAATTTTCACAACTGTTTCTGAGTTCCTAAAAGAATTTAACAATATATAGTTTTTGCATTAAACTCTAAATGGAGTTTTACCAAACTACCATGTACAGCAATAAAGCATGTCATGAGTAGAGCCGGCTGGAGCAGGGTTCAGACTAGATAGTTTCTATGTTTTGAATTGGCTCAAAAATGAAAGTGTAATGATATTGACTGAATATTAAGCTCACAATATTAAGTCAATGAATCTATTTTGAATGAGCGGACAGTCTGGCCTAACTTGCATGTCTTACTTGTTGCAAATATTTATCTTTCAGTTGTGCAACACTGAAGAATTTTGGGACAGACTAAAAAGGCTGCAAGACAAATACACTCTTGATGTACACACAGCCATTCTTCCAGCTTACAAGAAACCAATGAATTTCAGGCAAAGACCAGGTTTTCTGACACCAATACAGAGAAGGCAGACCACATTCTTTTAAAAACAATTGCAAATATGTATTGTCTTGGAAGAGTCTACACCCTAATCCAGACATTCTGTATCCATGTGCAGAAAGAATGGCAGACTTCTTGTTGAAGAAGTGCACTGGACAGTGTGTGAGAACAGAAAACTTGTATCCAATGATAGGAGTAGTATATGTGGAAGAAAATGCTCACATTAATTTCTTGAGAGTGAGATCATATATTCTTATTCCTAAGTAGGAACCCATAATTCACAATGCAGACAAGGTTTTGGATAATGAATGCTTCACTGAAACTGAGAGTTTGGTTCTCTCCAGTACTTCATTGTAATGCAGAAGTAGTTTTTCAGATGCCTTAAAAGTAACCTCTTCTGGAAGCTCAAAATATTCCAGTGAGTAATGACTGAAAGCAAATGTTTTCTCAAATTATTTGTTAATTTTTTGCTTGTTAACTTTCAAAATAATTACAGTAGGATTCCCCAAGCCAGCAAAACAAATAGGGACTGATCTAGAAAAAAATCATATGTAAGAGCTACATTGCATCCAAAGAGTACACCAAGTCACAGGAGGAGCAGGGCATTCACATTTGTACTGAAATACATATTTCCATTTATACCCTGTAGATAGGGACTGCATTAGAATTTCTGCATCTCTGTGTGCAGTTCCCCATGCATCATGAGAATACACACAAGGTGGAAACTTACTTCTATGAGTGAATGTGACTAGGCTTAAGGCAGCTTCCAACAAAATAAACTCTAAATCAGCATGGTAAGATCAGGCATCCTCCCTCTGTTTCTGCATTAATTGGGTGATTTTGCTTAGACTTTTAGTGATTAATTTCAACCATTTTAATTGTGTTATACTGTTGCTGTAGTTACTGCTCTTATTTGTTTGGTTATTTTTCACAGTTGTAGAATATGTGTCTTTACCTAGAAAAGAGGGATGGGATATAGAAAATAAATAAAAGCACAAAACATTAATCACTGAAGCATTCTATACCAGCAGGTCTAAAAATACCAGCTCAATGTGTATAAGCCTTTTAGAAAAGTGGTATTTTGTATCTATTTCCAGAAAGCCTCAAAAACTAAAGTGTTGAACTCAGATTACAAGAAAGGATAATTGCAGGAAAATCTCTGCTCAGTGGCCCAGATACCTTCATTTCTTATAGTGTGGGCACATGGAACAAGGTTCATCTATTCACAAAAGACTGCTCTCTGATGTATACAAGGCTCAGGCTTTGAAAGACCTTGAAGGCCTGCATCTTAAGTTGGGCCTGAAAGTTTGAGTATCATCCAGTCTTTTCTCATGAAACAGGTGGAAAAGGTATTCTACATTCCATTGAAGTTTCTCAGTTTTCTTCAAAAGAATTCCATGTAAAGTACAGTATTCATTCCTAGAAGTTCCTTGAAGCATGGATCAACAGGACAAATGCTCTCTTCTAAAGGATCTAACACTGTTTATGTAACTGATATAGTTAGTTGTTCCTGACATTGCTGATATCCTGAAGGATCCCTAAGCAGCTAAACTGATCAAAGTCCAGCCAATTCAGTAAGCTGAAATTAGTATCATGATTGTTGATACACACTCATGTCTACATTTGCACTGGTTGCACATGAGGAAGCTTCCTTCTGCAGAAAGAACAGGGCAATATGATTACATCCAAGTAGTCCTATTTACCTGATCTGTCAGCTAAGAAATAATAGAAGAATAACTGAAATTGAGAGCTTCATCATGAAACTAGAGACTACGTAAATAGCAAAGGGCATAGGTATTCATATACAGAAAATATGAAGTGGCACCGCTTGAACTGCATAGTACTTTTACATATTTCATAATCATTTTGGTATAGAAGAAAAATACCAAGCCAAAGGGTCACTCAGATGATCAGATTTCCATTTAGTTTTCCAGTGGCTGACTTTCCAGAAGATCACCTTTATTTACATTAGATTAAACAAATGCTGACAGTATGATTAATAGTGAAAGGTCAAGCCATGATATTAAAAATAGTCAAAACAAAGTATGTGTTTTAGACAAACAGAAAGCATATTAGCACTATCAGCATATATTCTTCCCTCAAAGTCTGTACAGTTGCTCAGTAAAGATACTAGAAGCAATAATATATATTATTGAAAAATGTGTTCTCAGCACAGAGGGGAATATCATCACTGGTTCTTCTTGCAAACACATTCTATTTCATAACCTATTTAACAATATATGTTTCCATTGGTGATGTGTAAAACATGCTTTATGAAATACTAACATATAAAACATTGTTGCTAAAATCACATTAAAAATTGGCAAAAACATTTTAAAATATTCCATGAAAACAGAGAAATATTTACACTCAGGTCAGTCTTTCTTCTAGCTGAAACACAGGAAACCCCTTAAAAGGCAAAAATGGTTCAGAAACTAAAAAAAAGTGCTGGCACTTACCTGATGTTCTAGCAGAAGGACAAGCAAGATATGACAGTGATAGATTTGCATATTAGAACTGGGCCACTTTGAATTCCTCTAAAGCAGGGTAAGTAGAAAGTGGCACTGACCATTCTTATTCCTATAGTTTTCTCCCTAAAACTGCCTCCCACAAGTTGTTCCTTGTAGTCGAGCTCTGAAACCAGAACTATCCCAGTTCAGAGAAAAAGAGATGGATGAAGCAAAGGTTGACTAGACCCCCTCTACCTGCACATGCTGTACTTAAAATCACAGAACCCCTTTAATGGAATTTTGCACAACCCCAATTTTAACACATGAATCATGCTGTCCCGCTGTGTAGTTTGCCTTTTAAAAACAATTTAAATAAATTGAACTACTGAAGTATAGGGACCCTGGACATAAATGTGCAAATTATGAACCTCATTCTGCAAGTATAACTTAACCACCCATGATCCTGCAGCAAGTGGAATATTGCTCTAACATAGTAATTTAAACATTATCTTCATTAGAAGATGAATTGTTTCAGCAAAATGATGGCATTAGTTGCTCTTGTTCATTATTCAGTAATGCACTTACTAAATTGGGTCTAAACTACTGACTCCTGACAAGACCAAGCTATAGTACTTACTTGTGCATTTCTCTCCTCACTGATGTAAATATAACTATTCTCCATATAATTCAATTCTTGTCTTACAGGGCTGAGAGAAGGGTAACTAATCAATTCATAAACACATTTAAATGCTTCAATGAAAACTCTCTCTCTCTCTCATTTAACAGAGTGGAACAGGCATAATATTTTCTGAAATGTATACAAATCTCAAAATATTCTAGGAATTACTAGAGGTTTCCACACTCTACATTCTGAAATATAGCATAATTGTTAATATGCATGCCCTATCCATGTCTCAAGGCAAGGTACATCCTATGCATATGAAAGGTATTCTGCCCCTTTATGCACAGATGTGTGTATTAGATTGAGTACATGTCAGTGAATAATGCCCCTGAAATCCATCTTAGTGAAGAACAGTTATATGCTATTCCACTTATAACTTACAATCAAACATGCACTATATGCATGGTGGGACTGAAATTTGTCCTCATGTGCCCAGAGCATATCCACAGCAGAAAACAGAATAAATGCACCCTGAATTTACCCCTAAGAATGGTAAATCATTTCATTTCCTTTTTTTCCTCATTCAATATATCAAATGTTGCCTGTTGCTCAAATTACTACCAGAAAACTAAAGGGGAAAAGGCCATTATAGTTTTCTTGGTAATGCTGGTTCTGAAAACATAGACTCTTCTGGTGACACTAAATCTTAATGTTTAAGGTTATGTCCATGCTATTTTATTCTGCATCTTCACTCTTCTCAGAACCACCTCCAGTTGAATTGTCTGCCTCATATTTTCTGCCATAAACCTCTTCAGAAGACTTTTCAGCAGAGTCACAGGACCTACTTGTAGACCCCGTATGTGTTCGAATGCGAACTCCTGGCTGGTATAGCTGCATGGCTGGTCGATCCTGTTTTGGAAGAAACAAAGAAGATTAAAGCTTTGAGAAAACCATTTACCCCCATTTAGGAGTTCTCAAAATGACTTAATAGAGAAAAGAGGACTTTATGGAAAACTATTTTACATTCATTAAGAAAGGGGGCAATGTGGTTATAATGATATGACATTTATCACCTCAGTCCTGTTTCCTAGCAACCAAATACTTTAAGCATATTAAAAAAATTCTAGATAGATTAAGATAGCTGTTTTGGCAGAAAAGTGATGGGAAAGCATACAGTATCAACCTAATCCATGGAAAGTTTCACAGACCACTATCCAAATTTAAATCAATTGTAACAGCTAGGAAAGCTAGATGAAAACCAAACATGGACAGAATAATTTTCAAACAGAAAAAAACCATCCATAGTTCCCAATATATAAATGAGCATAACAATATATAAGCTGACCTTAACAATGCAGTTCTTGATTTAATAATATCCTGGCTAACAAGCATGGGTCCAAAAACAGCTGCTCAATCTTGTCATATTTTCAAGAGTCCTAAATAGCTAAATGTAGGTGATGAACAAGGCAACTCCCTTAGATGCAGTCCCAAAGGCTATAATGTAGTCAATCACAAGGGCATAGACAGTGCCAAAGCTGCAAATTTAAACTTATTAGAGAATGAGCTTCACAGATATTAGTGTGCTTCTGGGTAAATGTGCTTGAGATCAAGCTACACATCCTTGAAAATGCATATCCAGTTGCCACTTAGCACAATATGGTTGCCTAACCCACAAATAGTGATGCTGTATCTGTGCCAATGCAAGCCACACTCTGCACTGCTGCAGCTAAATAGTTACAGAATCCAGTGAAAGAATGATACTTTTGGACAACACCTCTTTTCTGGACTATATCCACATTAAAAGCAGCTAAACTGCGTTTTCTTTTGAAAAATCATCAGAAAATAGATTCCTCACCTTTTTTAGATGTTCTAGTATTCAACTAATGTCTTAGCCAGTACCAGTGTTACTTCAGCTTAGACTAGTGTTTCCCTTTAGTTAGCAGTCAGTTTACTAAGACAAAAGATCGGGATCCTTGGGAAGGGATTTGTTGAGGATAGGTTCTCACAGAGAATGTAGGCATTCTGTCATGTGATTTTTAAAACAAGCAAATTTTTAAAAAGCTAGAATTCCGAGAAAGGTGTTTGATAAAAGCATGTTTTTTTTTAAAAAAAGTACAAACATATAAATAAGCAGCAAAGACAGATATGAGTACCTATCAATGTAACTGCTTTCGCCAAACAAATATGGTTCTCATATAACTGAAAATCAAGCTGTTTAAAAAGTTAATGCTGAGATGTCAAAGGCAAGTCCTGTGTGACCCTGAAGTAATTTTACTAATGAAAGATTATCCTAAATGAATAAAAGAACCTTATTTCTTATGCGCTCCTTTTTGGATGCCATGTCATCACACTTGTCCTCTTTACCCAGTTTGTCTACTGTGTCCACAGTGAAGCTGTAGTTGTAGTTCACTTTCTTCCCTCGATCTTGGTTGTATCCTTTCCCCCACTTCACCTCATCTTCATTCCTTCTCACAAACTTGTCATATTCATAGTGAGTTCTGTGCTTTCGACCATCTTCCAACCGATACCTTTGCCTCTCAGGCTCTTTTTCACGAAATCTTCTCTCTGAATCTCTTTGCTCTTTATCACTATCATTTTGTGATCTGTGTTTAAAAAAAGGAACAATGTTTTTCAGTAAATTCTATTCACAAGCTGGGAGGCAAGTTACCATAAAATCAAGTGATGCATTTCCATCAGCTGTATAAGCCAACTGTATAAGCCAACTATGCAACCCAATTAAGAACAAGACTATGACGGATTGTAGCACTACAGCTCCCAACTCTATATCAGTGCCAGACTATAGGAATGGATGGGGGAACTGAGTCATCAAGGAAAGCTGTTTTAGGGCACAACCCTATAGCCCCTAGAAATTGAGTGAGTTTCTACATCATGCTAAGCCACCCGAAGAATAAGCCATCATGTGTCAATTACTGGCTCAATAACTTGACAGACAATCAGAGCTCTGTGGCTTCTCTCCCTCCTCTGTCCTCCCACTGGCTTCTGGAATGTGTCTGAGGTGCCTTTACATCAGAACTGGTAGCTTTTTTAGATTCTGTGTTTGTGTACTTTCTGCACTTGGTCCACTGGAGTTACTTGTTCTTGAGGGAAACTCAAGATTGGCTGTCTCCTATTTAACTAAGTATACTGTTATCCCCTCATGACTTAGTCAATTTCACATACAAACACACCTGCTTCAGTGCTTCCTTTGCCATGTTTTTTAAAGGCTGTGAATGCTCTTGGCTTCTTGATTTTTAGGAACACAAGGTAGAGGGATAATGGTGGTGCACTAGTGAGATTTTGAGGAGTGGCAGGGGTTATCACTGCTCTCACAGGGCAGCACTTAAGTTGTTACCATCAACCCACAATTAATTTGCCCTGTCAAGATCAGATGTCACAACATGCCACACTGAACACGCAACTAGCCATGGATTCTCCACATGGCTTATTTGTAAAAACTAAGCCACCCTTTGGAAACCACACCAGATTCAATGTCACAACAACCCACCACAGGCAATAACCCAGGCTGAGCTGTCACTTCATGTGAGCCAGGTCAATGTTTGAGAGTCCATAGGATACAAAGGATTAAGATGTTTGAAGAATCCATTTGGGGGTGGCAATACATGGGATTCCCTGGTTTTCACTCTCCAGGCTCTGGTCTGCTTTGCAGCAGCCCTGAGTCCAGGTTCCTGGTGAGCACACCCAGCATTTGTGCAGAGCTCACCAAGAATCAAATCTCACATGCTTTACAAGCAGCATCCGTCTTTTGTTCCACCTGCAGCAGCCAAAACAGCTGCTGCAGGAATGGGGCTTTGCACAACTGCTGTGCAAGCAATACCCCTCACCACACTACCCGAAACAGACATTTCAGATGATACACCTGACATGGAAGAAGATTGCCAGTTGTGAAAGCTTCATTCCACAAGTGTTTGAAGACTTCCGTTTGACTTGTCTCACTTTGCAAAACTGGGCCAAGCACAAGAGGAAGTTCGCAATTGCTTTAAGGATGGATTCTAGCAGAATCAGTCTGACTATGGACTATGACAGAATCTTACAGCAGATACACATCTATCACCTCAAAGGTGAACATCTCCAGTTGGATCATCAACCTGATCTCAGCCACCACAGAAAGCTCTGTAGGATCTCCTCTCACAAGGTCAATGTTACAGCCTTGGATGAGTATGCAAGAAGGAAAAGGGGGGCATGCTGGTGTGTTGAAGGGGATGGAGGAAGGAGAGCCAGATGGTACATTGTATCCCATGGACCTTCCAGCTGCAGATCTGCCTCACCTGCACCAGCACAACTCCACAAGACTGGTTCACTGTCTGTCTAATGGAAAAATGAAAAGAGGGGTGGACACATGAAAACTGTCTGTCACTTTTATTCATCTGGCAGCAGCCCAGTAGGCCATAGGAATTTCAGAAGCCTCTGGAATTGAAGACCTCCATTTAGCAGGCAGCAACCTGAAAGGGTTGCACTCCTAATCTACACACTAAGTGAAAGTGATGAAGTGATTTCTTAAAATGCCTGGAAGATGCAATTTAATATTCAAGATAAACTGCTACTTACTTTTCCTTTAATGAACCTTCCAGTGGCTTAGATTTTATACTCCCATGCCCTGGTGACTTCTCCCATTTGTTCTCTTCTGTTTCAGCTTTTTCTTTTTCTCTGTGCTTTTCTGTGGCTTGCTCATCTCCTTTCTCAGGCTTTTTAAGAAGCTAAGAAATATTTATATGCCTATTACTAACTAAAATATTTATTACTTTCATCAAATAGATATCAAGACAATGAAAAAGTATAGCCAAAAAGTATAGCCAAAAATGATAATACAACCACAAAATACACTAAAAACAGTAAATTGAAATAATAAAAATTGCTTTACTTCTTAAGCAGTAAAACCACAACAAAACAGACAAAATGATTCAAAACACTTGGGCAAAGACAAAGGTTTTGACAGTAGCCTAGTTGGGAAGTTACCAGACTATGGAACACCATAGTCGGACTATTTGTATCCAGGAATTATTATAGCTGGTGAATCAGCTAAAGCTAATAAAAGCACTCAAGAGTCACCAAGCTCACCTGCCTCAAGTAAAAAAGCTGACTTCAGGCGTGTTCCCAAGGTACATATCACCTCTTTTAAGAGGAATACTTTCTGTTACTGCCTGGTGGTTTATAATAAAAGACCTATAATGCACAGATATCATGGATTAAAGAGCCAGTTTCATGTGTGTCACCCAGACTTGGATGCATGAGCTGGCTGGAGATTTTGTCACTAACTCTGCCTTAGCTTTGTCCATCTTGGTACATCATGCAGCACCAATACTAGGTGGAGATGCAGAAAGGAGAGGGAATTGCTGTCATCTGTAAGGATTTCAGCTCCTTCTCCAGAAGATCAGTCCACTCAGGAGCTGGATTGAGTGTTTCTACCTGGTATTGCACTAGAGTGACAGGAATTCTGATTGTATACTAATCACCCATGGCCAAAATGAGATGACTAATCCCTAGGCCACTGACTTGGAGGCAGGCTTCACTGAAAATTATAAGATTTCTTTCGCATGTGCATATTTAGAGTAATATTATTTATAATTATCTGATTGTCAGTGTGGACGTTAATGACATTATAGGCCCAGTGTTAGACTGGAATATCTAGTACTGAAGCTTATACTTCAGGTCTATATGGTTGACCTTGTTTTGATTGGTGTTTGGAGAATTTTGTATCCTGGTGACAGAGACTACAGTTTATTTCACCAATACATAAGAAATGTTTTTGATTAGATTAGTTTTTGGTTCCCAAATCTTTGCTACATCAAATAAAAGTTTGCACAGTTGAAATGCTCATAATCTCAGAGCCCAGTAGACTTGGAGTTGCAGTATGTCAGATTTGTCAAAGCCTCCAAGCCTTTGGTACCTTAATGTTTCTCTTTTTAATGATGAAGTGTTTAAAATTAAGATTTCTATTGAGCTACTTGAATATTTTGAAAATAATAAGAGCACTGTTGATACTTGTACAGAATTGAATTATTGCGTACACTTCAAGAATTTTAATGCAACAAACTACTGAAATCTCGTAACTCGTTTTTCTGTTTTCCCAACTGCACAGTTTTGTCAGGAACTGCTGAAAGTTAAATAGCAGTTGAATTATATCTTTATAATCCTCTCAGTTGAATTATCTCCTTCCACATCAAATGGAAATCAATGGAATTGATAGGTCACATCAATGGAATTTGATGTGACCTATCTATGACAAACATATTGAGAAACTTTTGAGCATCCTAGTAAAAGTTTGGCAACTTAATGTAACTTCAACTATTAGAGATGAAAATGATAGGCTAATCTCTCTCGCACAGATACATGAATGCAGTTTTTAAAGGTTTATTCTTATTTGTATTGTAGTCAGCAAAACATCAGAGCAGGATAATCTTTTCATTCATGTTACTCTTCCACTCATTAATTTCATAGCTCCTTTGTACTTGGAGGAAACTATGAGAGCAATTACCTAACAAGAACAATGGGAAATCAACCGGTCCAGATGGACTTCCAATTGAGTGGTATAAAATATTTTTCTAGGATCTTATTTAAAAAATTGCATCATCTACATAATTATATTTTGGAATCAGGCTCCCTTTCTTCATAATTAAATATAAGCTTATATTATAGTGATTCCTACACCTGGCAAAAGACTCTAATTGTGCTATTGCAGTGTTTCAGTAATCAACATAGATATTGAAATATTAAATACAGTTTTGGCCAATGGATTTCCACACATCTTTGCGACATTATTTCAGTCATACCAGGTTGAATTTATTAAACTGGGAGCTAACAATCAATTGCAGCATTTCTTAGAATCTAGATTTGGCCCTTCAGTTTTTACAGCTTCACAATCTCTTTCATAATTGGAAATACTTATTGAGGCTAAAAAGTTATATCAACCTATATAAATAAATTTTAAAATATTTATTTTTGTGAATAAATGATAGAAAGGGTCCAAAGCAAGAATGGAACAGGCAATTGGATTATCCTATCTAGCCTAATCACTAGATTGTCAATTTAGCATCTATTTGTGAAACTGTTATGGATCTCACATTGTATCTTATTGAACTATAACATGTTTATTGGATACCAAAATGTCTCTTTTGTAAGTGCTGAACAAATGTTGGAGGTGTAATACTACCAGTGCTTCCTTTGATCATATGTTTGGACAATTTCTAGCAGTTGCCATTTTAGGAGGGGTTAATAATATGGATCAATTTTTATTAGAACACTTTTTAATAGTAACTGACATATATGTTCTTTTAAATTAGCTGCCTATTTTCTGTAAGCTAGTGCATAGTATAAACAGATACTATGTATTAACTGAGAGATTCTGTGTTCCTTTTACTAATAAAGGATAAATCACAACAGTGGAAGAATAACTCCTCACTTCTTATAATGCAGTGTGCAGAGGACTTAATAACATTTTAACAGATGGCATATAGACACCACTTCTTAATGGATACATACATTGATTCTTTGTCTGCCTTTGTTAAAGTGTTATTCAAATATATGTAGTTACATATTTTCCTTGTCTGGTTCATGGTTTTTAAATGTATAATAAAAAACAAAAAAACACTGAATAACTGGAGACAACTTAAAATATGTTTATCCCAAAGTTACCTTGATTCGTATTTCTTTTTCAGAAATTTTCTTTTGCTTTTCAGCATCTTTTCTTTTACGTCTTTCCTCTTCTCTACGCTTCCGCTTCTCATCTTCTCTAAGACGTTTCTTTTCTGATTCTCTCCTCCTTCGCTCTTCCCTTTTCTCTTCTCGGATCCTCTAAAATTATTGAAATGATGCATAATGTAGACTTGTAGAAATACTGAGAAGAATTTGACACACAAATTTAAGCTTAAGTCAAAAATATAATCATACCTGTTTTTCTAATTTCCTGTTTTTAATATATTCCAAAAGTGGTGTTGTCCTTCTAGCTAAAATAGAAAAAAATGTGATGCAGTATTTCATTCCTAACATGTGTGTTTTTTTATGCTTTTAATTATTTAAGGTTCAGTACATTAATTACTACATGATAATGCATACAGTTTCATAATGGGACATAAATAGTATTTCTCATATTTCAAATGTAGAAAAGTCATTTTGTTATTGTTAAGAAATCTAGGAACCTGTAAAGCTAGACCCATATATAAGATTACTTAAATGTATATTTTATTTTTCAATAAAAAACATTTTTCTCGCAGCTTTTCAAAATTTTGAAGAAGCATGTTTCTTTGCAGAATATTTTTCTTTCAACTTCTACCTGACTAGTAATAATTTACTTGCAACCTTCTCAGATTATTTAAAAATTTGTTGCCATCTATAATAAGTGAAATGCAAATTCTTGCAGATTTATGTAAAATAAGTAATAACTAGATAACAATAAATTCACTGAAACAATGCAGATAGTTTGTGCTATCTTTTTTAAAACTTGGCAGAACAGACTCAGAAAGTAGGCAAAGGAAAACAGGCTATATCATAGTCAACACATGGCAACCATGGTGAGTGACCATGGAGTTATTTTGTAATTTCTATCTCTATACATTTTTTGTTTATAATGTTAGTTTTAGCAGGAACATTTGTTCCTTTCGAAAGACAAGGAGCCATAAAAAAGACAGCTTCTGCAGAACAGCTTCTGTGAAGCACTGATTCATAGATGTTTTCACTTTAGCCACTGCTGGTTAAACCAATAATATTTAGTATTTATATAGCTTTTTGCTAATTGCAAAAATTGTTTCACATATAATTTCTCATATCCATATAACAATATGAGATAGTATGTTGTTATCCGAAATTATATAGCAATGGGGTGAGAAATCATGTCTACCTAATGCCACCCAGTGGATCCACAGCTGACTGAAACTTAAACCAAGGGTATCCTCATCTTATCTCTAGTTCTCAACTGGTAAGAAACACCAGTTCTCTTATCTTTAGTTCTGTACAGCCCATAGTTAGCCTAAACCTTAATTATACTTCTCAATGTACTGTGTTGGATTGTGGTTCAAAACGTAAGTTAAGTTGTAAATGAATATCAAAATTATCCTCCCTAATATATGAGAACTTTATTCAAACATTACTGAAGCAGCAAGGAAACCAGCTGCATCTGGTCAGGTTAGTTGCATGTAGTCAACCAGGCCATGTGGCCCTGTTGAATGGTGTAACTCTTGCACAGTTAACCTTCAGTGACAGGACAGGCTGACATGGAAAGAAACCCCATAATTTGGTCACTCATGTGTTGTCTTCTTATAGACATCACTAAAGAATTACTAATGTTCCATTCCTGTAATTCACAAATCTGCCCTCAAATCTGCCCTCTTATAGGTACATAAATAGGACCACAACATAAGAAAAACTCCTTGTTATTTTTTGATTGTATTACATGTCATTTGACATTTTATAGTACTTCAAATTATTCATTACTTGATCGTCCAAAAAATTACAATTTCTAAAAACAATTTCAGTAAAATTAGATTGTACTACATTAACAAAGGAGATTATTAATATTGGCTATGTGTGTTTTTTTCAGAAATACATAAGCTTCTAATAATCAGCCTGGGTTTTCTTCCAAGAAATAAGAATAGTTGCAGTAGCTATAATGATAGTAGCAGCAGCAGCAAAGGCAATACTGAATAATTAAAACTTCTTTATATTAATTGCTAAACCTAGATAAAGTAGCATTGTCTTTCATTATGCCGGGATCTTTTTGACCCCTTCTCCATTCTTTCTTTGAGCATGCTGTATTAATTTTCTCCCTTTTAGTTCAGTTCACTGCCATGTCTTTTTAGTGAAACTTCAAATTTTCGTAACAACACAAATGGGAGCCAGTGCTGAAACACCGCAGAATACCTCCTCTTTATTGTAGGAGAATAGGTAACGTAATGAAATGGCATGGGATAGAGGAAAACATTTTATGTACTTCTAGGAACTTCTACAATTGTGCTAGGAATAACCACAATTTAATGTAACAACTCCAAGTTGCCTAACAAGCAGGAGAACTGAAATATAATAGAATTTCATAACTTTCATTTATGGAGGGGGAAAATCAGCTTAACAGACCAATGAGTTCCCTTGTTTTTGCCTCAATTTCTCCTAGCAGGATTTCAGGGTTGGCACATATTTTTTCTTCCTCAGCACAGTAAGTTTCTAAAAATTTTCTGTATTCTGGATCTGTGAAAGGAAAGCAATTGAAAAGGAAGTAAATAACTGCACATTGGGACTTAGCCACAGTAGATTAGGCAAATGTTTCTGTCAAGAAAATGAATTTACCATCTTCTATGCTTCCAGCTTTTGCATCTTTCTTCTTCAGCTTCTTTTTAGAAATCTTTTGGAACGGTGCAAATTCAACAACAGCAGGGTATTCTAAACCTTGTAAAAATTGTAAAAGAAAGCAATGATTAAAGGCAAATAATATCCCCTTTTTGAAGAGGCCTTGATCCTAGGTACTCTTGAATACAAATATCAGAATTAAAATACATAATTTTATTTTGCACTACCTAACAATGCAGTGTTTCTTTAATTAAATATTTAATATTTTGCGTGCAAAAGCCAAATCTCTCTGGGTGGCTCCTATCCATGTAAGTACCACTGAGTTCAGTGAGGCTTGCATCCACGTAAGTGGGTATAGGACTGTAGCCTAAGGTTAGACTGCCTTGATCCAGTAAATCTGGTTAAATTTTCATCAAACACCACTGCTCTGGCTCAATATGTCTGTTGCTGTTCATGGAAATCCACATCCCTGGCCACATTCATGGACTGCAGCCAATATAAATAGTTGCATCATAAGGCCTTTCATTTATATTATTTTAAATATGGGAAAGCTATGTATCAACAAAGATACTAACAAAGATACCAATGCAGAAGGCTGAAAAAAATACTGCATGCTACAGCTGTACTTCTTTTTAAAGTGATTGTAGCTACAATTCCATACCTACTTACCTGGGAGTTAAGCCCCTCTGAATTCAAAGGGTCTTATATCTAAGAAGACATGCATACAATTGTAGTTATTCAGTTTCTTGAAACTCACCTGATAATATTCACACTTAGGAATTAGGCATATATTTGTTAATAAATATCTTGGTAAACTTTCACTGCACAGACATTAACTTCTATGCAAATATATATTTCCTAATTTTATTTGAAAACTTCACCTGCTTTCAAAGTAGGACATTTTCTCTGTGGAATGCAGACCTCTCAATGTCTATTTCAGAAAAAGAGCAGAGGATTTAAACACTGGAAATGAATTTGCATAAACCTTTGACAAGGATAACTTTGGGTAGAATTCTGGCCATGAGAGAATACTTCACGATCAGCAATGAAGCCAAATGCAGTTTATCATACTGAAAAGAGATGCAAATATTGTCTGGAACACACAGAAATATGATTCATAAAAGAGATGAACCTATCTCAAGGCTTTTGATGTTTCAGCAGCACAAACTCAGCAATCCTTTTGCATGCATAAAATTAGTTGTATCCTTGAATCTTGACCATAGTGATAAATGAATTACCTTTATTGTCAATGAAGACATAGCCATCAAAGCGATCTCTAAAAAGGAGGATGTCATCAGGATTTCTAAAATTAATATATGCTCTTGAGTAGACATGAGGATAAAGACTGCAAAAACAACAAATATTTTCTGTTATTTATATTTACCTATAAATATTCCCAGAGAAGACAAGCATTATATTTACACATCAAATGAAATGATAGTGAAAATAGAAATTAATTAGGTAATGAATTCTTAGTAGCCATTGGCTTCAGTGCTGCATGCATGCAAAACAGGGTGTAAAATGGCTTAGTCCAGAATATTTCTCCACTCACCCAGTGTTGTCAAAGTGTGCTGCAATTCAACCTGCCCATCTTTCAAGCAAAGCCCTCTTTCAAGGATCCAATGTTCTCTACTAGCTATTAAGGTTCTGCTTCTCCTGTGTCTGGCAACTTGAACACAAAAAGCCTATAGAACAGTGGGTGGCCTTATTGCCAAGAACTGTAGTGCATCAGGCATAGGGGAAGAATGGTGAGGAAGACAATGTTCTACTGAAATTGTACAGTTCTTCCGCACCTAGTTTTCCATGAGTACAGTGGGTAGAAGTGATTGTGGAGTATAGTGTGTGAAAGAATGAAGCAAGCAAGTAAAAATTTCATACTTAATTATCAACATCAAGGGTCTTCAAACTTTCTGAACAGGGGGCCAGTTGAAAGGCTGCGGTGACCATTGCGGGCCGGTGAGGTGGGGGTGCTTGGGGGCACGGGCCGACGAGGTGCCGTTGGGTGAGCACAAGGCAGCATCGGGCACATGTGGTGGTGGCTCGCTCACTCAGAGATCTCCCAGTGAGTCCAAAACCATTTCTGAGCGAGTGAGCCACCACCTCCCTGCCCACAAGGCAGCAGCAAGCGCGCACGTACAGGAGGCAGGTGGCGGTGGCTTGCTCACTCAGAGACCGTCTCCGAGCAAGCAAGCCACCTCCTCCCTGCCCATGCAGCAAGCGCGCGCAGGGGCGGGGAATGGCGGTGCGGGTCAGATCCGTCCTCTGGGCCGTAGTTTGAGGACCCATGATCAATACTACCTCTCACAACCTGTGAGGTTCTGATATCCTCCATGGTAATACAACAAAAGATATGGAGATAACGAGATATGTTGTTAGTATGGACAATTCCATACTATAACAATAATTGTGATAGTGCAAGCCTACAGCAGCTTCACATCCTTACTAAACTAGTAGGTTTGGGGTTTCTTGTTGGTTTTTGCTCTTTCTCCCAAACTAGAATATTTCATTCCAGATACGCATGGGCAAGGAAGAGATTCAGGATGACAATACACAGAAAAGTGAACCATAAGAGGAAGACAAAAGAGGAGGCACCCTGGCTTAGGAGCTCATCCCATCAACACCTGAAAAGTCCCAAAAGCCTGATGCCCAGCTAGAACATCCCATTGCTCCCTCCTTCCTGGAGGATTTATATACCATGGAGGAAGGCAAGAGGATAATAGGATCTATATCAGCTTTTAATAGGCATGAATTTTTTAAAATTTTAAATATTTCATTTTCTGTGTAAACTGCTTTGAGATTAGAAAAAATGTTTACTAATAAACATAGAAGAGCATTATTGATAAGATTAAGTGTTCTATCACTGCTACTCTTCCTCCTCTCAAGTATATGTGAGATTAGCTATAGATGAATATATTTGCTGTCAAAACTGGAAGCCAGTACAACTACAGAGAAAACTCTGTGCCACGGAAACCTCTCATTTAATCTTCACACAATATTAAAGCCATCTTGTGTAAAGTAGCCCTAAATGACTGCAAACACAAGAGCCTAAAGTGTCAGGTTAATAACTGTAACATATAGATTCCAGTTCCTCTTCTTGAAATGCAACATACTCTCAAAATTCAATGTGAGAAATAAATCACATCTGTAGCATGCATCGCAGCAACACAAAGAAAATGACAATAGTCAAAAATATTCATCTTTCCAAAATGCTTTAATATTGTGTTTGTCAGTCCTGTATGACAAAATGCTTTTATAATTCTCTTTGTACTGAAAATGTCCTTTGTGATTGTTGGTGGTAAGTGTGACATCATGCAAATACAAAAAAAAAAAAACGCCTCCTCTGCCATATAGAGATATGAAGCAAGTTCTCACCTGGGATCAGAGGTACAAAATTCAAAATAATCATGAGCAGGAAGTGGATGGAGTTGTTCCTCCAGCTGTTCCTTGGTAAAGCTAGGAGGTAGGCGACGTATAACCACCTGCAAAGTATCACAGGTAAAACAGAGAGCACAGAACACTCCATTCTAGTGCCTACAATACCACCGAAAAAATCATCAAGTTTATCTACCATGCCTCCCCCTCTGCAAAAAAAAAAAAAACCTCTTATTAAAGGCCAAATGAGTTAGCCCGATCTGGTCTCAAAACACGGGTTCTTGGTGACAACACCCTTCACAGCACCTCCTCCACAGAACAATCCTTTCCGAGATTATTCCTCTGCTGGACTCCCACCCCCTTTGAGGTTCTGGGGGGTGGTAACGCTCGTCTTGCAGCTTCCGGCTGAGGCAGCCCGTGTCGCTGACCAGGGTCCTGAAGTTGAAGGCCAGCGCTCCGGAGCCGCAGCGCCTGCGGACGCCGAGCCGAGATCTTTCCGCACCCCTTTCCTCTCGGCACGTGTGAGGAGAGGGCGCCCGTCGCCTCCTTCCGCCCGCTCCTTACCTTTCCGCAGACGGGCGCGGCCTCCCTCCCCGCTCCCTCTCTTGCGCTGTCCCTGGTGCTGGGGGAGAGCCCTTCCTCCCCTTCCTCCGCCCGCCCTGCCGGCTTCTCACTTTACTCAGCGCCGCTCTTTTCTCCTCCCGCTGTTGTTTGCCCGCCGGCAGTCCCAGGCTGGTGGGTGGCGGCGGCGGCGGCGGGGGCGGCGGCGGCGGAGGGGGCGGCCCCGGGGACTGCGGAGGGGTCTCTGGCCCCCGACGCGGCGATTCCCGCTGAAGAGGCGTCTCCATGGTTCCGGGCGGGCGCCCAGCCTCTCACAACCCCGCCAAGCGGCGGCCCCTGCGCCCGCGTCGCTCTCCCGCTCGGCTTCGGCCTCCCTTCGCCCTCATCCCTCAGACAACCGCCAACCTTTCCCAGGAAGCATCGCGAGAGCAGCCCCCTCATTCCTACGAGGGTCTCGCGAGAGAGGAGAAGCGGTGCGAGGGAGAGCGGGGGCGGGAGGCAGAGCCGCAGCCACCGGCAGGGGCGCAACCGGTGCGGCAGGTGGTCTTCGCTTATTAAACTTCGGTACGGTTCTGCGAGGTGGTGGGAGTGCCCGCCGTTAATTTAGCCCAATCAACCACCGAGACTTTATGTGGATTGGCTTTCAGGTTACCCATTCCCCAGTCGTTCAGAATCTCCCCCCAAAGCCTGCTGCAAACTTGCAGCTTAACATGGACTAAATTCTGCATATTTATTCTACTCTTTCTTGGGTTGGCAATAATTACTATTTATAAGACAAGAAAGGGAAAAATCAGGGATGTCTTAGGTAAGAAAAATGGATGGGGCTTTTAGTCAAAACAGCTTTGGGGGAGGGGTAACATTTAGATCCCCCCCTTTTTTTCCTTTTATCAAGGTATCACCTTTGTAGAAGTAGGGCCTGCAACAAGCATCAATATTATACTACAGTCATACCTCTTCAAGATTCTAGCCATTCTATTTCACTAACAAAAATCTGTTTTGCTACTTCCTAGGCCTGTGTATGTATGATTGGAACAGTAGTAAAACAATCTGGTACACCTATATTCAACTCTAGATCATTATTTGTTTTCTGTTCCTTCTCCCAGCCTTTTAATTCACCTAAGTGAATTTTTCTAAGTGTTCCATCCACAATTTTCTGTTCCAGTTACTAGAATTTTAATTCAGTGGTCACATAAAACTTTCAAAACATCCCTGCTCCTATCTCTAAAATTTCCCTCAGTAACCTCTTAAGCCTTTATATCACAGTAACATCTGAATTCACATTCAACTAGTAATCCACACCTGGGACTTGCCACATCTATTAAGATAAATACATGAAGAAGCAGCACAGAAAGCTGAAATAACTAACAAATATAGAGCAGACACTTAGTTTACTATCATGCTAAAGACTTCCGATTTCTGATTTTCCGATTTATATCCTGCCTTTTCCTACAAAGGGCTCAAGGCAGCTTACATCATTCTCCTCCTCCATCTTATCCCCACAACAACAACCCTGTGAGGTAGGTTGGGCTGAGAGTCTGTGACTGGCCCAAAGTCACCCAGTTGGCTCCATGGCTGAGCAGGGACTAGAACCCAGATCGACTGAGTCCCAGTCCCGTGCTCTTAACCACTACACCACACTGGCTCTCTTGCCAACATTTCAACTTGCCAACATTTCAACAGACTTGCCAACATTTCAACAGAAATGAATTCAACTGATATTTTGTTTTCACAAGTGCTTGTAAGGATTGAACAAAGTAATAACAACTTTAATTCTAAATTAAAGAATAAATTATATAGGGCATGATCGAATGAGGTGCTTATGTTACTAGTGATTCACATCAGGTCTACTAATTCTAGTCCACAGAGAGTGGCTCCTGCTGCTTCTGTTGCACAAATGGGGAGGTTTAGCCCCTGCAGGGCAACCTGAAGCAAGCAAAAATGTTTCTAAAAGGAGAAAGGTCAGCAGAGCTTACATAGGAAAACTTTCCTGATCAGCTTCCTTCCAGAAATGAATGTTTTTGCTCTTTTTCAGTTGCTTTTAGAACTAAATCTAAATCTGCGTAGCATAAGCAATGGGTGCCACCTGCTGAAGGGAAGGCATGAATGCTCCACGGGATAGTGGCAGAGGTATAAATGCTCCACTGGATACTGCTCATTGAATCAGAATCTTAAATTTTGCAGGAGGGTTTTATGTCAAACATTTAAAATGGAAATATGGAAATTTAGAAAAACAAAGTAGCAATTCTTCAACTCTCTGGCACTAAAATGAAGATATTGTAAACAAAGTGCTCTTTTAAACATTCACAGTCTTTTAATAATAACAGTCACAGGATGCACTGAACAGTTAAAAATACATATGTTTTTTGTAGAATAAAATTGGTATAAACAAATATACTGTCACCATTGTGGACAGTCTCCAATGTCAACATTAGCAGTACGTAATCATATAAAATAGATTCCTAAAGGCATGAGGTGACAAAATTGCTTAAACAATTTACACAATGATGAATCTGTATCAGAATTTTAAAGTCATGTACTGTGATCTGACATAGACGTTTCTAACATCATATCACTTTCATTCATTTCAATTTCAAAAGTTTCATCTAATGGAGGAGGCACTTCTGTAGCTTTCCTCTGATGTGGTGCTTCCAGTGCCATGATACTACCTTCTTCTAGAGTTTGCCTTTCTATATCAAATTCCAAAACATCCCATGCAGGTGAAATGATGTTCTTTAATGTCTTCATAGTATGCACATCAAAATCATAGCATCTTAATTTATCCTTGATTGCAGTACCTAAAAGAGATTTTCTAGGTTAATTTTCCAACATAACTTATTTCTGCCATGACATTTAAGACACTTATTTCTTGGACAATACCCAATTCTACATGAGTGCTAATATAAATTGCATTGAACTAACTTAAGAGTCGTCTAATGCAATGCCCCTCTTCTTGGATCACTGCCTTGTTGTGGTGAAGGGGCTTGCATAGCTCAATGAAGCTATGAGCTATGCCATGCAGGGTCACCCAAGACAGACAGGTCACAGCAGAAAGCTCTGACAAAACGTGATCCATGGGAGAAGGAAATGGCAACCCACTCCAGTATCTTTGCCATGAAAACCTCATGGACAGTACCAAAAGGCAAAAAGAGATGACGCCGGAAAATGAGACTCTCAGGTCAGAAGGTGTCCAATATGCTACTGGGGAAGAGCAGAGGGCTAGTACTAGTAGCGCCAGAAAGAATGAAGTGACTGCGTCAAAGCCGAAAGGACACTCAGTTGCAGATGTATCTGGTGGTGAAAGGAAAGTCTGATGCTGCAAAGATCTATACTCCATAGGAACCTTGAATGTAAGATCCATGAATCAAGGCAAGCTGGATGTGGTGAAACAAGAGATGACAAGACTGAACATCGACCTCTTAGGAATCAGTGAACTAAAATGGACAGGAATGGGTGAATTTAATTCAGATGACCATCAGGTATACTACTGCGGGCAAGAATCCCTCAAAAGAAATGGAGTAGCCTTCATAGTCAATAAAAGAGTAGAAAAAGCAGTACTGGGATACAATCCCCAAAATGACAGAATGATCTCAGTTCGAATCCAAGGCAAACCATTCAACATCACAATAGTCCAAGTCTATGCCCCAGCCACTGGTGCTGAAAAGGCTGAAGTTGACCAGTTCTATGAAGGCCTACAACACCTTCTAGAATTAACACCAAAAAAATGATGTCCTTATCATCATGGGGGATTGAAATGCTAAAGCAGGAAGCCAAAAAATAACTGGAATGACAGGCAAATTTGGCCTTGAAGTACGAGTACAAAATGAAGCAGGGCACAGGCTGGTAGAATTTTGTCAAGACAATACGATGGTCATAGCAAACTCTCTTTTCCAACAACCCAAGAGACGACTCTACACATGGACATCACCAGACGGTCAACACAGAAATCAGACTGACTGTGCTCTGCAGCCAAAGATGGAGAAGCTCTATACAGTCAGTAAAAACTAGACCAGGAGCTGACTGTGGCTCAGATCATGAGCTTCTTGTTGCAAAATTTAGGCTTAAATTGAAGAAAGTAGGGAAAAGCACTAGGCCACTCAGGTATAACCTAAATCATATCCCTGATGAATATACAGTAGAGGTGACAAATAGATTTAAGGAATTAAATCTCATAGACAGAATGCCTGAAGAAACATGGACGGAGGTTGGCAACATTGTACAAGAGGTAGCAACTAAAACCATCCCAAAGAAAAAGAAATGCAGGAAAGCAAAATGGCTGACTGAAGGTTTACAAATAGCTGAGGAAAGAAGGGAAGCGAAAGGCAAGGGAGAAAGAGAAAGATACAAACAATTGAATGCAGAATTCCAGAGAATAGCTAGAAGAGATAAGAATGCCTTCTTAAATGGACAGTGCAAAGAAATAGAAGAAAACAATAGAATAGGGAGGACCAGAGATCTGTTCAAGAAAATTGGAAATATGAAGGGAACGTTTCATGCAAAGATGGGCACGAAAAAGGGCCAAAATGGCAGTGACCTAACAGAGGCAGAAGAGATTAAGAAGAGGTGGCACGATTACACAGAAGAACTATACAGGAAAGAGCTTAACGTCCCTGATAACCACGATGGGGTGGTCACTGACCTTGAGCCAGACATCCTGGAACGTGAAGTCAAATGGGCCTTAGGAAGTCTGAGCAACAACAAAGCTAGTGGAGGAGACAGTATTCTAGCTGAGCTATTCAAAATCTTAAAAGACGATGCAGTAAAAGTGCTACATTCAATACGTCAGCAAACATGGAAAACTCAACAGTGGCCACAGGATTGGAAAAAGTCAATTTACATTCCGATCCCAAAGAAGGGCAATGCCAAAGAATGTTCAAATTACCGCACCATTGCACTCATTTCACATGCTAGCAAAGTGATGCTCAAAATCCTACAAGCTAGGCTCCAGCAGAATGTGGACCGAGAACTATCAGAAGTACAGGCAGGATTTCGAAGAGGGAGAGGAACTAGAGATCAAATTGCCAACATACGCTGGATCATGGAGAAAGCTTGGGAGTTCCACAAAAACATCTACTTCTGCTTCATTGACTATGCTAAAGCCTATGATTGCGTGGATCACAACAAATTGTGGCAAGTTCTTAAAGAGATGGGAGTACCAGACCATCTTATTTGTCTCTTAAGAAACCTATATGCGGGTCAAGAAACAACACTGAGAACTGGACACGGAACCACTGATTGGTTCAAAATTGAGAAAGAAGTTCGGCAAGGCTGAATACTGTCGCCCTGCCTA